CCCCCCCCCCCCCCCCCCCCCCCCCCCCGCCGTTATGACCATGCTTGCGGCCGTCGCTCATCCTCTCGTCTGCGAGAAAGCATGGCTTGGTGGCCAGAAACACGTACTGTCTCTGTTGGAGCTATGTGTACCCGGTATTGACCTTGTAAGTCGTCGAACATCTGCTCATTTCCCATACTTCGAATCAACCCCCGATTTGAATACACAGAACGACCCTATCAAGACACTTTGTGCCGCAATGTTCATCGCTTCGACAGTACAATATGTTAAGATCGGCGATCTATCTGCTCTTCAGGCTGGAATTCCATTCACTGGTGATGCCCCAGCCGAAGAAATGATGCGCATAGAAACGGTGAACGAGAGTGGCTTTCCAGATGGTTCTGTGAGCGATGCGGCCGGGCTGAGTAGGGAAGAAGAGCGTACTTGTGCTAGGGATAGCACAGCCGGCTTTACTGGTAAACCTGGCGGCCCATGGATGCAACACTGACTAATGGGCATTTACAGATTGGGTTGTATCTCTGTTCCGACGCGTCTTCGCATTGTACGAGAATCTTCCAGAAGAAGGAGGCAAAAGGAACACCACAGGTGGCAAAATGGAGGAGGGTGTGCTCAAGGCTATCAAGAGCATGCTTGACGTCGTTTGTCTGAACCTATCTGATCCCCTCTTCGACCTTGTGTTGAAGCTAGTATATGACTATGCAACTACAAACGCCAAGTCAAATGCTGTGAGAGCATTCGGCCAGCTAGTCTCATGCTTAGCTCGCGTGCAACCCGAAAAGACGATCGCCAAATTTCTACCTTTTTGTGCTGCACAAATCCAAGAAGAGCTGAAACACGGTGCATCCAGCATTCGGACGACGTCCATGCACGCCCCAGTGCCCTCAGACACTACGTTACATTGGAGTAAGCAAAATGTTTCAAAGGTGACAGAGATACTGATTTCGCTCACCCAGATATATCCATTCTTCGTGGATGCTTAGGCTATGGCGGAGCATGTGTAGGCGTTCGTCTTTCATGATGCTGCGTTAGCTAACGAAATTCTGTATAGTTGATCAAATATAAGCCACAGTTACTTGAACTTGTCTTACTCCTCATCGAAAAGACCAAGAGTGAGCGAGGCTATACCTCAACTGGACGACTTATCAACCGCATCTTATATACTCTGACCTCGATCTATCCTATAAACTCCCGCTTTGTGGATGCGGATGAATGGAACAATCCAGGTATGATCAAAGCCAAATCAGAGTGTAACCATTTAATGAGGTCGAGTAGACTTTGACCAAGATCATATCGCACATTGGGGCCGTTTGTACGAGCCACATGACGTGAAGATTGAATGGCATGGTGCGCTGGTTACATTTGGCATACGCAGACTTACTCATGCATCTGTAGTTCCTACGGATGATGAAATCCACTTTGTCATGGAGATTCTCGACAAAGTAGCAGCACCGGCTTTGGACATGATTGAAGCTTCAATCGGTACAGCCGACCGATGGGATAACATAGCTCGTAATGACTTTTGTCGGTAGGTATCTCCTTATAATGTCCTGTTCTGACGATCATTCGCTAATTTTCTATAGCTATCTTCATGCAGTCAGGTCGATCTGGAGTGGTCTGCCTACTCTCTTCAAGGAGGGGCCGAAAGATGTAGTCAATCCCTGTCTTGACCATAACACCGAGGTCTCGGAGCTTCTCGTGTCACCTATGGATGTCAATTGTGGCTTTCTCTTGACTGATCCTACCGATCCACGGTACCAGAAGGTGGCGAATCATCGTACCCGGTTTGGTCAAGTGATTCATCGTGCGGCTCTGGTATTACGGGAATCCAGTCAAGGAGAAGACCACATCGATGCGGTTGTTGCTGTGGCCAAGGCAATTGACGTTTACCTATTGGAGTATGCAGTCACAAGGAGTAGCTTTGATTCGTTGCGTAAGGCATACGCGCAAGCGCGGGAGTAAGTCATTATCCGTTGCATCTCTGTCTCCAAAAGCTCAGGTTGGGCGCAAGTTCGACCCGCATGTGGTCCAAACAGAAGACAAATGCCAGAATGGTTTTAGTGAGACGCGCTCATGCGTATCATGCTGGGAGAGTCTATATGCATGCTCTGTATCGACGACGTTCCCAATCGGACGATGAACTCATCAATGACCTCATTGAAATGTCTCTTTCGCCATATACTAGGTTAAGGAGGTGCGCATTGACCTTGTTCCGCTTTGCGCTGCTCATAATTTTTGGGAAGACATGCACAAGCCATCCTTCACAATGTTTGCGGCGTGAGTCTTTTCGTTTGCGTTGGATTTGTAGGACATAAATGCATTTAATCATTACCCGGGGCGTGGCCAGTACTATGTGCGGTCCACGAGACTTAGTCTTCCGCAACTGTTCAGAGCTTTGGACAAGGGAGTTGATCCTGATCGCATGAAGGGTGCTTTGTACGTGCTTTGGAACAAAGGCACTGGTACGTCGTCCTCCGCTCGTATGGTGGACAAGTTCTAAGCGTTCATGTCCTCAGCCGCTTACGCTCTTGCGGGTAAGAATGTTATTCAGCCTTTTCGAGTAGCGGCGACAGCTGATCGCGACCTTCATTGCTCACAGACGTTAGCTTGCATGGACATTATCTACTTTCTTTGCTGCAATGCCAACATCAAGAAAAGGTACGCTCTACTTACACACACAAGCGCACTGTTTAACTGAAGTCATAACTAGCCTTCTATTCAGAAGCTGGTTGGCAACCTTGTACAGGATGCTCTGGTATACCTCACGGAGGAGGCAGTACACACTGACGCCTTTATTGAAGATGCTCCAGGTGTCAAGAGCGCTCTGGAGGAGCTCAAAAAAGAATATGTGCCCTCTCGGGATAGTACCCTGCTTCTCTCTGAAGCGTCAGGAAAGATGACCGCGCGTGCTGAATCCAAGAATCAACACTATGCACAAACCGTGAGCAGCCCTGTAATTTCTATAATCTGCATGCATAAACGAGTTTCATCCCATGCAGATGTTGGCGATAATCGGCGTCGCCTCAAGATCCACCACTCACGTGCGTTGGTAGATTATCCTCGACTATATAGCCCGTCTGACTCCCGATCTCTTACAGTGGCGTTATAAAGAGTTCGCATTGAAAATAATGTTTGGACTATTAAGAAGAGATGTCAGTATCTCAGCGGACGCAGCCCAATGCTTCTTGCGATTGAGTATCAGTCCACATCCCACGATCCGCACAGTTGCTCAGAAGTAGGTGGTATCTGCGCTGGATATACGAATAATCTTGATGCATTTTACATTAGAGCCGTCTCGAGGTTGACTTGTCACATCAAAATACGAAGTTACGCCCAATCAACTGAGCAGCTCTGGCTTGACGAGTGGACAAGTCCCCTACAGCGGACCGTCGCTGTGATCGATCCGGCCCGTCTACTTCGAAGTCTTGAACAACCTATTGATAGGCGTGATACAGACGAGTTTGTCATCCCATCTTTCTCCATTCATTCACTTGCTTAAAAACATCCGTTTGTAGGAAAGTTTACGTGGACAAAATCTCAACTGGATTCGTTATGTGGTCGTCGACGGTCAAAGGTTACCGGGTTGTCCGAGAGGACGAATTGCCCCTCTCTTGGGAATCAGCCTCAACACCAGTATTGGGATCCATGAGCGCGGTGTTAAGGGAGGATGGATTTTTTCCCTCTTTAGCAGCCCTTTGGAGCCAAGAATCCAGCAAGCAAAATACCGCACCTGTATTAAGGGCAGACAATATCGTCTTCATGAAATCTCTTGGTGAGGAGCCCGAATCCCTTGCGAGCGTGAACTCATGGCTCGAATAGCAAAGATGTTCGGAAATGAGCACATTGAAGCCATGCTTTCTGCCATTGACGCCTTGATATTGGACGGCGACCGATTCAAACAGCGGGCGGGAGCGGAGATGTTAGCTGGTTTACTACGGGGTATGTAGTCTCGAAGATGTTTCCCAGCAAACTATCATGACTAAGCTGCGCGGACAGGATCCAAACACTGGCCGCGGTCATGGTCTGACAATTTATGGGCTTGGTTGACAGCGCACTTGAAACAGATCTATGGCAACATGAAGCCGGATACCATATCTTACTGGGAGGGAATGTTCAGCGTAAGGTTTCATTTTCCGCTCGTTTTCCGCGTGTTCTCAGAATCGTGATATAGGAACAACTGGTCGATAGAGATCCTCGGCGCGCCCAGCTGATTGTCGAATGGATACTCTCGCTACCACTCGATTTTCATAGTGATTCAGCTTTTGCTAGTAAATCCAGTCCCCTCTTACCGAGAGTAACTGAAGAATACTAATTGCCTTCACAGCACTCAAGTCGCTCTCACTGCTTAATGTTTTGATTGATTGCCTCGATCTTCGCTTCCATTCTTTGAGCGATAAGTACATGAACCTATTTCTTGAGAATGCCAATACTGGCTACGCAGAGGCACGCGTTAGGCGTTACCTGGTCCTTGAACACCTATTGACATTAACATGCTTAGATCCGCGCACAAATTGCACAAAACCTTCACGCGATATTAATTTCACAGTGGCGGCCAACATACCTTAATGCGGGCGCACTGCTGACCGCTTGTGTCAGTACCTCGGATCCACTCCAAATCAGGTTCGTACCGCCATTTTCTCAAGTATTCATGACTGACGCAATTCTCAGGAGTGCGAAGTACATGACTCGAGTAGTAAAGATCATCCAGAAATTGCCCAGCTGGAGAGAAGAACGATTCCCGCCTCCTAGGGTCAGTCAGTCGCAATATGATAAAGTAGGCCTCACCTGTATGTTTCCGCTTTTGTGTCTCAAAATGCTTTGTTATTGACAAGATCACCACGTAGTGCTGCAATGGATATGGGAATGTTCGCATGGCCCGCAAGCAACACTGATCTTACCTTACGCCATCACCTTACTGTGCGCGACCTTTTATCTTATGATAATTTATTACCCTCTTCATCTAAATCCGGGAATTATTTCACAGGCCCGAGGTTTTGCGTATGTCAGAGCTCAATGATAGCTCTGAGTTGCAGAAGTACAGCTCTGCGGTTTTGTACATTTTATCGGCTGTCACCCCCCCTGCCGAATATATCGAGGTGATTGCTGACAATTATATTAAAGCAATAAAGTCCTCCACAGTGCGTACATGCTAAAACGCTGTTAGCTAATGGCTGTCCTGACCTTCATCCATCATCAGTCCTGGCGCGTTCGAATCAAGGCCCTCCCTACCTTGCTTGTGTTCTATTACCGCAATCTCATGAGTATCTCAGACAGTGTTCTATCCAGACTTATGGATGTCCTCTTGGAATGTCTGGCCGATGAAAATGTGGAAGTACGCGAGATGGCATCCAAGATGCTCTCCGGCGTTGTTAGGTCCTCACAACGTCAAAACATTGTTCCGCTCATGGTTTGTCTTCTTTCAGATGAGTGGAGCGGGTACTGACCTTGCATCTGTTGTAAGAACCGTTTCCTGTCTCTTGCGCGAAGAACCCCATTACCGGCTCGTGGGAGTTCGACTTATGTGGATGCTTTGCGTATTCTCCATTCGGCTATTCTTGGTCTATGTGCTCTAATAGAGAGTTTACCGTACTCGGTAGAGTCATGGATGCCTCCGCTGACGGACGGTAAGATCACTGATTCGGTTACGCGTCAGTGAAACTGAATCGAGAGTCAGTATTGGCGGTTCATGCTACGGATCCTGCGCCGATTTCAACTACTATCCGGAAGTGCGCCTCGGAGTTTAAGAAGGTATGTTGAAGTTAAATTCTGCGGTGTGTCCTAACGTGAGGCAATGTTGCATCTAGACGCACCAGGTTCGCGTACTTGCTTCCATACTCCAGCTCCTATGTACTGACATTGCAACAGGATACCTGGCACAAGGATCAGCTCGCGTTCGACGAAGATCAACTGCAGAATCTCGCTACGATGCTTGTTGGTACCTCGTACTGTAAGCATACCTCATCTATGAAGCTATATCATACTTTAACTATAATGCTGTAATAACAGATGCCTGATGCTCATTTCTTGAATGTCTGCGGACTCAGTGTACCATGTTGTTTGCTGATGTTATACAATGACTCTGATTCACCACATCGTGTATATTACTTGTATTGATGTACACTGACTAACGTCTGTATAGTTATGTCTTCCTCGTGCATTAGGACATCTGTGAAACCCGACATCCATCAACTATGATTGCATAAGGGAAACCACTGAGTATAAAGCCCTATTCATCAGGCAGATCTTCAGGTCCATGTCAGGAGTGCGGATTTATTTTCTAGCAATGCCGAGCCCTAAATGCAGACGGGTTGCGGAGTCATCTACAAGGCATATGTACCATACCGATGTGACAAAAAACCCGAGGGTGACCGGGCATTTTAGATTTTGAGTCAAAAGCCCAAGTCAGCGACACATATCATAATAAGAACGAGCTTAATTAGTCCTAGTGCTATAGGACTGAAGTACCGATGCGTCAAGTCGTTGGCCTAGGCGGGCAAAATTGTGGAATCTGAAGCTCCGCACACCGAATGTCAAGAACTCGTACCCCATTGGAACTTGTTACGTGGAGGGTCGCGATTTGTGCCGAGGCGGGGCAACCGTTAATACTACATTCGAACGTGTCGGCATTGTGTGGGAGTCCGCCGAATCCCAGGATATACATACGATGGGAGAGGGGCCATACTCCGGTCGGAATATACACGGTCGCAGTAACCCGACCCCGTACTGGCGGATTGCTACCTGGCGAGTCGCGTCCGTGACGTCGATCCATACTGGATGGAGATTGAGCGGATCACGGATCAGATCCTGAAGACCTAGCAGAAATGAAGAGACGACTCACCAGAACACAGGACGCTAGAAGAGGCCAAGACGAAAGAAGGAACTTAGTGACTGGCGGATGCATTTCCAGTAAGTCATGCAGCATCGCCGTCTGCGCATGCAAGTTATGATCTTGCCTATCGCGGCGCCAGATTGAGAGAGCGAGGCTCCAGAGGTGAGATGATCGATATCGACACGGGGAGGAGAAACACCGTGTGCCTCCGTCGAACCCAAAAGGGACCCGAGGAGGCACGCGCAGACGAATGCTGTAAGTGCATATGTTCTGTATCTCTCGTTCAACGTTGCTCTCGTACGTGTAGCCTAGCAGACTCTCGGGTGGAATGGGCACGCCATGCGTCACATGGAGTGTAGTGACGAGTGAAGAATCGGACGAGGCAGCATGAGGACGACGCGAGGCGATCGATGGAAGTATGAGTAGCAGCTGACGAGGATTCTATGGAGCCGAGTTCGGGTGATTGTGTGGACGACTTGGCGACGATGGAGAGGGAGTCATGTAGAGTAAGATTCAGCAGGGAGCAGGGACAGCAAGACAGTCCAGAGCAGATCCTGCACTTTCGATAACGGCGCGAAGAGCGTTCGACGTCAGCTGCACATAGCGTTTATCCATAATCGCACTGGGAATAACCCGCGTACAAACCTCTTTGAATGAGGAATCGAGTCACTGCACGCCATTGCACCACGAGATGACCGGGAGAACAAGTCTTCGCTTCTGTAGAAGACAGGTCGATGAACGTGCGACAGCGACACGGAACAATAAACGTCTGGAGCACTACCCGAGCCCACCCCAATTCCAGCCGAGGTATTTGGCTGGGCCGCTGGGCGTGGATTTACGCATGGTTCAATGGTGACTTTGCCAATCAAAAGCCACAAGCGCGTGGCATAGCTAATTGGCACAGCACACCCTCGAGCGACAGCATCCAAGCGTTTAAAGGGAGACGCACGCTAGGCCCACCCCCGGCTTCATCTGATCATACTATGAACTGACAGAGTCAGTATGCTGCGTGTGCCAGACCACCGCAATCAGAGAAATATTGACCGCGATTTTGAGATTTTGCTTCCGTCCTCCGGCGCACATGACCCAGACGCCGGTCCGACTCGAGACGGTTTGGCTGGAGTGGTTCGACTGGGGCTGCGAGATGGTCGGTCCACGATCTGGGAGAGCCGAGTGGGCGAACGGGGATGGATAATTTGGGCGCTGGGATTGATGGCGGGAGCGTCTGCCACGGCTGGCTGACTGAAGCTGGCGTGCTGGCGAGAGAGAGATGCAGGCAGAGGGAGACGTGCGATATCGATGTGTGACGAGAGGACTGAGGACGGCGATGAGCAATGATCCACGACGGGGCTGCGTGGAGGAGGAGATGGGCCTTCATATTTCTTTGGCAATCGCCGCCGCGAGAAGGGCACGTTGCACATCAAACCCTGACCTTCTTCCGTCAGGCTGGCGCAAGGCGTCCCCCCCCTTCCTCTCTTTCCTCCTCCTCCCTCCCCGTTCTCCTTCAAACGTTGTTTTCCTCATATCTGCATCGCTTTTCATATCTAACCTCCCTCGTCATCTCTCCACGGCCCATCACGACTCTCCAGCGCGCGCTTTCCCGCTTTTTATACTTTTATTCCCCCTTCGCCTAGACGACTCGTCTCTCCTCTGCCCTGAGCTCGCTCAGTGGCACGCCTCGTCGACTCGCCTGATATTTCATTTTTCAATTACCCGCGCGCACGACTCTGCACACCTCCCTCGATTCCCCATCGACATCACTTGATTATTTCTAATAGTCATCAATCAATTTTTTATATCCTCAAGCACGGCACTGGAGCGCCAGGGCAACTTATAGGTAACTGGTGAGCGACCTACTCTTGTGCACGTTCTGCAACTCCATCTCATCACTTATCGCCGACGTATGATCTCCCAGTCTAAAAATGTTTCACGATTCAGTCACGAACCCTTTATCTACGCAGACGAGTTTCTTTTCCCGCAATACAGGCGACGCCATCTCGCCATCGCAGCCAAAATCTCATATCAGCCTTGGTCCTAGAGAAATGCTGCCCTCTTCACGAAGAGCGCCCAACGGGCGAACGCCAAAAGGTATGTCAATTTGGTCCCACTCCCCTCATCGGGAAGTAAAGAAGCCCATCTTGTCAGCCGAGCTGTCAGAGCGGAGCGTGCTTTCTCCTGCAAACGGTGGATTCCACTGGATGTTCAATGGTAACGGCCAGCTTGTAGATCCTGCAGCAGGAAATTGGGACCTCGCGGACGACATGACCAAGATGCACCTGGGCGTCGGTGACGAGGCTAGTGACCCTCATATGCACACACCTCCACATTCTAGGTCCAACGCATCTCTCCTACAGCTCCAATCGTCCTCTCCGCTCGAGACCGCCTCCGAAGATAGTATCGATTCTGGCTCGTCAAACGCCTTGGATCATCCCACAAACCACATGTCTCACTCTCGTGAATCGTCCGCCGACACACACGCATCTGCACTGTCTTCTACCAGTCAGACACTACGTGCCGCCCCGCTGACACCTCTGAAAGTCGGTGCCGTTGGAGAATCGCGAAACAGACCTCATTCATACAGCGGCGGTCTATCTAGCACAGATCTGACGCGCCTTCAGCAAGCCGGGGGTAGCCCGGCTAGCAAGGGGGAATCATGGGTATCACCCAACGGGACGCCGGAGCGGCAGCAACAAATTGACCAACCAACCTATCCATCTCTCGCTGCTGCTGGCCGCTCGCAAGAGCACGGGCAAGCCTCGCAGGTTGATATGGATAATGCTCAGGCCATGCAACTTCGACAATTTAGCCCGGTTCCCCAAGGCCCGACCGGAGCTCCTGCTTTCCTCCCTGGACGCCCCAATAATGTTGCTGGGAACATGCAATACCGCCAGGCTCCTCGAGGATACAATCCTTCTGTGCCACCTGTGCTTCAGAGCCCCACGGGATTTGGATACCCCCCTGCACCCCCGCCGCCTATGGCTCTCAGTACGCCTCAACAGCAACTATATGAGATGATGCTTCCAACCCCTCCTCTCGACAACCCTACAATGGCCCGCCTGCAGCAGCAGCATGGTGTCTTCCGTGGATCCCATCAGCACTCCGCTTCGGATCCTGCCAATGTCCGGGACCCTGCCACTCTTGCCTTGCTCAACGGCAATCTTCAGGCGTTTTCTGCTGGTCAAATGTATCCACCGGCTCTAGGACCTCCTGCTACTTTATCCATGTTCGCCAATCAGTTCTATCCACAGGAGGCGTACGCTTCTCCGGACTTGGTGACCGCCCAGATGATGGCTCGACTTCAGTCCCAGTATGGCGCCTATGGCGTCCCTGTACCCGCACAAAATGTACCTGTAGCTAATGCAATTGCTCCCAACACGACTGGCGGTGTGACTCCTACAGGATCTGGCGGAGTTGGTCCGAGCGCAAATAATCGCAAGCTTGGTCTGTACAAGACGGAGCTGTGCAGAAGCTGGGAGGAAAAGGGAACCTGCCGCTATAGTGCAAAGTGCCAATTCGCTCACGGCGAGGAAGAGTTGCGCAAGGTCTCACGGCATCCGAAGGTGGGATCGATACTGATATCCATATCTTATGCCAAGCGCATGCTGACTTTGTTGTTTCCCTTCTAGTACAAAACGGAGATATGCAGAGTATGTATCTTCTAGCTTCAGGAATCATGTTTGAGGTTTGACAGCATTTTAATCCAGACGTTCTGGGTGTCTGGCTCCTGCCCGTACGGCAAACGATGCTGCTTCATTCATACGGAGCTTCCTGCTTCTGGTCCTCCTCCAGGTGCAGACGGAACTCCGCCGCCCCAGATCCCGCACGGCCGCGATCGTTCTGGCAGCACGAACAGTGATCCGAATGAGATCTCCAGCTCTCTTCTTGCACGCATTTCCGCGAAGCGCAACCATGAAGGGTCAATGAACCCTAATACTGGGAACGTCAGCACCACTCCCCCATCTAGTAGTTTCCAACTCAGTGGGCGCCCCGGTGCTTTGCGTGTGGATACAACTGTTCTGGATTCTGCGGCTAGCGCGAAGCAAAATAAATCCGCTTATCCGACGTTCGCGCATAACGGTATCATGATGCCCGCAGGAGAAGAGGTCTCTGCCCGTTCCCCTGGTCCTGTCACTGCAGGCCCGGACTTTGGAAGGCATGCCGCTTCAAGGCTTGATATTGTTGGTACTCAGGTGTGTGAATGAGAACCTTATCTTGTTGCCCTGGATTCGGTTCGCTGACTTCTATCATCAGCAACGAGCTGGTAAAAGTTCGGCAGCGAACCCTGGTGTTCGTCATTCATTCAACGGGAGCGATATACAATTAGATTTTAACACCACCCCTACTGCGACGAATGTTCCGACTCAATTGGCGACACCGTCGGACGCGCCCAAGTCTTCGGCACGAATCAATGGCCATGTTCGTTCGGGCAGTGCTGGCAACTGGGGATCCGCGACTCGCAACCTCACAGCGTACCCGTTATCGTCCATCCCTGGTGGAGAGCTCAACAAGAACTCTCCTTGGGCCGACTACTCCACGCGTCGCACCGAGAAAAATTGGGTTTAATCTTCTGACCCGTGTTCAAGCGAACGGTAATATTTTTTCTGTATATATTCACATGGACGTCTGTCATCGGCACGTTTGCGTTGGTCAAGCACAGCGTGCATTGACGGCGTATCTCTATCTCGTCCGGAATTACCGATCCCAGCGCACATACACTACTCACATTCAGTCGTGCTTTCATCTTTTACGAACAGCCTGCTTTCTCATCTCGTTGCTCAGATTTGTTTGCTTATCTCGTCGAAGCAGTTTGACTTATTGTCTTGACACTCGGAAAGCTTATCATCATCCTGTCCTCATCGCGCTCCTCATCACATGTTATTCTTATAAGTCAATACAATTTGCTTGCTATATACCGTTTTCTCCGATCAGTGCCTGTGCGAACCATATTCGAGAACAGAAGTACGTGGACTTGTGGGAATCATAAATACAGGTATACAGAATGGAGCAAGTTTTCATAGTCTATAGTTTGTACAGAAAGCCAAACAAAGGAAGCAACCATAGATGACAACGAGGCGACCCTGCAATATATCCCAGTATGAATCAAAGACCAAGCGCACGGATTTCCTCACGGAAACCGTCCATTCGACACCGCGAGTACCCCAAATAATCGAACTCAGGCTCGCCGTCTTTACCCTCGACGATCTCCCGAGCCTGTACCACTCCCCACAAAGCCCACATGGCATGTGATGCGGGGCTCCAAGCCCGGACAAGGCTTTCTAGATCCTGCATCTGAGTCTCCAGAAGGACATCAGACATCTCGGAGGCATCGTCGGCAGCGAGTGCGACATGCGTGAGATAAGAGCGATAAAAATTGCGGCGTTGACCATGAGAGGGATAGAGTGCAGGGTTGAGAATGTGCGGCATGTCGGAATGATAGTTCGCAGTCCACTCGTGAAAGTGGTTCGCGATGTCGAAGGCTGCGGGATTAGGAGAAGCGTACTCGAAGTCTACGACGATGATCTGCGGATTGACGAATCCGCGCCAATCAGCTAGAGTCCCATATGGATCGATCAGAGAGGACGCACCTGACGATGTTCAGGCAATCCCTCCTTGAGAGTTTTCAGTCTGAGAAGGTTGCCATACTGGGTATCGTTGTGCGCAAATATTCGTTTGCTTTTCCCCTCGCACTCCTCCTTTTCGTGCAACCAACGCAAATACTGCTTCCATTCGTGCTCAAACCGGTCCAAATCCAAGTCCCTACAGACTTGCTCTGGCGCGGACGCCAAAGCCAGGACTTCGCGTGCATAACCCAACCAAGATTGCACATTCTGCTCGACCGCACTCCACTCGTTCTCTTCATGCGCGTCTACTTTGGATCCCTGTGTCACGGCGTTGATATCGACGCCGTGGAGCTCAGCCATTCGAGCTCCTATCCAGGAGCTAATCTTCGGCTCTCGCATGTCGGCAGCCGTGAGGGTCGTTGCATCGAAGAATTCCTCAATACGACCATTCTCGAACGTGCCATATACACGAGGACCAATTCGATACTGGGAGGATAGCACATGCAACGTCTGTAGCTCCTTTGGGCGGGAAATAAGAGAACCCGAGGAAGGACCATATATGCGCAACAACAGTATGCGAGTACCAGGAACGGAGGGACAAGACACAAAGAAGACGGCATTGGTCATGGAGCCAGAAACCTTCTGTATTTCTATCCTATCGGATGTGATTTCCGGACTCGACCATTGAGGTGCCCGGATCGTATGGAGAATCTCGAGCAAGCGTGCCAAGAAGGGGGCCGACTTGTAGCGTCTGGAGGGGAAAAGGAAAATTAGTAAAGGAAAATAGTGACACGACTGATAGCCAACCAGGATAGAGTCCTCCTCCTGTCCCTGCAACTTGTCAGCCTGCCAGCAAGCGCCAACGCCAGCTACCCAGAATATGGCGAAAAGATGCTCACCGTGCCTCCAGTTTGATGTCGGAATGTCGCAATCCCTCAACTTTAACGACATCCACGTCGCCATCCTCAAAAGGGATGGACAATGAAGACGAAGAGTACGCCGGTGATGTGCCGATAGTCAAATTGTCAACCTCACTTTGCAGTGAGGAGGTAGAGCTCCTGGCCAGCGAGAGGACGGGCCGTGTAAAAGGCACCGAAGAAGGCAGTGGTACCTCGGGACCCAGGGTGGGCGACATCTTTGTTCGTGCCGGACGGGAGAGGGAGGAAGCTTGGCTTATCGCGTTTAGCAGTCTCTGGAATAGAGAAGGAGTCGGATGACCAGAATCTGACCTGGAATGGCCCATCAAGAGTGATTTCTTCGGTAGTTGACTACTGAAAGGGACTGTGTTGGATGAGGGAGATGGTTGGGGTGGATCACACGACAACACCCTCCAAGCGAGGCAGAGAGTCGACCCGTGCTCCATGCATGAGCCACTCTTCTCGTCACGTGTGCCCAAGTGAATATTGGTTCGATCCCCGTTCAATGTCCATTTCTGCGTTTCGTTGCCGACTGTGGTCCACCACCACGTAAACGTATATTCCCTCCCAAAAATGCCTCGACTGGGAAATTCACAGGTGTACGCCACATCTTCGATCGCTACATGTTCCGCGGTCTGCGGCTCAACGCAGGGGAAATTAGCAAACCGCTAGCCGCTTCGACTCCTTCGAACCGACATGATCATGCGGTCCGTGACCCAAAGCCGTCGACCATGTTATTGCCGACGCTTTAAATCTCTTGCTCACAGGACTTCAACTGGGCCGCTGGCACCCCAGTGCCCACTCCAGCGATTCCATCCCGCCGAAACGGCGATCTCGATTCGTGCCTTCGCATAGGCTAGAAGAACGGTCCTAGTCGCAAACGTAAAACAGTCTGGGAGCAGCACATGTTACGGCATCTCCGAGTATCGCAGCACGCCTTGTCTCGTCGGAGTGGTTCACAGTGGTCGAGAGCCCATCCGGATTTATCTCAATTATATATTGGCGAGTGCATCGGCATCAGGCAAGGCGCCAAGAATGGTAATGGAATGTATCATCCATTGCTTTGCACCAAGTCTGTCCATTATATCCTCAATGAAATCCTAGACTTGCAGCTGTCGGCCTAGCCATGCTCGAACCTTCATCGTCTGGAACCAGAAACAATGTCTCCGAAATCTCCTTTTGCTAAAATATACGTACAATAACCGTTATGACAGCATAACTACTGCTCCCGTAATCCCGAGCTCGTTCCTGAAGATTTCAATCCCGCGATCTCTAGCTAATCGACAAGGCTCGAACGACTCGGGGCTCAATGGCTTCGGGAAGCTTCATTCAATTATTCGTACTTTGCTAGCGCAATTCCTTCACAATATTCTCACAGGGTCCCCGCGAGCACTTGTCGGCTCGATCCCCTTGAGGATCAGATTGGCTCAAGAGGATGTCGGTGCGGACTGAGGCACCGATTTGAGAGACAGGCAGGTTCGTCAGCCGAATGACAGGAATGACAAAGAGGTGGAACACATTGACAAGCCGGACCGATTTCTGCAAGCTCATTCTCTCTGAGATATGCCAGTAGTTAACGTTGAGACTTCCTCTCCTGTCGACGCTTCTTTCAACTCTTACTTGAATGGGAATTTCGAGGAACATCAGCCTGATGCTCAGTTGCGATGGTTTGATCACTAGTCGGACGCCATACAGGGTGCCCATCAGCCGCACTATGTAATCTGATGGCCTGCTGCAGAGTATCAGGAAGCCTAGAGATTGACCGGCTCAACGGTTGAGATGGACTTCGAGGACACTCGTGAGGGTGGATCAGCACGGCACTGGATGCAGAAGACAGTGGGAACCGGAAAGGCACTAGAATCGTTGACGTCAAAGTTATGCGACTCCCATGATTGGGTCACCAGCCCCGACGCGTGAACGCCGGGAGATGCAAGAGACAGGCTGCCGTAAATTCGCATGCACAAATGTCAGGGTAACTGTTTTTGTTATCGCCGAGACCACCCTGCCTAGCAAATCGTCCATACTCTCGATGTAAAGTTTACACAGGATTCCAGATTGAATAAGGATATAGAATATAACGACGACAGGACCCTTCATCCCCTGTAACTAGGCAAGCTGGCACTCACATTCAGACATCGGCATGTACAATAACTGATGCTGGCTTTTGCTTCATATCACGGCCAGTCGCTTCGGGATCCTCTGTATCACTGGACTGACACGTTAGGTTGCGTGTACAAGTCGAAATCTATTCCCAGCATATGTCAATAAGCGATCTAAAATACACTCAGCGAGTTACGGCACTGACCAAGAGCGCCACGCCCAAGCACGGGCAACAGACAAGCCATATGGCCTATTCATCCAAGCGAGATTGAGATCAGCAAGCTCAGCCGCCCAAAAGTGTATGGCACATACACGAATCGAGATGCACAAAGCGTGCAGCGCCGCGGTGTCCATATGCACAGTGCGGATGCCTTGCAGTACTATCGATGCGGCCACTCCGGTGGGTAAGGACTGCGACAGCCGACTGTCAAACACAGCTCCCGCTATGGTCTAGAGACGAAAATTAGTCAAAATTGACGTTATAGCGCGCATTGTAACGTACCAGTCCTACAGTTGCTCCTGTGAATCTGACAAGAAAGAATGCACTAGTCCCGGAAGCTGTATCTTTTCGTCGTAATGCTCTGATGAAGACCTGGTATGGAGCGTGGAACAACATCCCAACCCCCACACCGGCCACGAGTGGGTAGACAAATTGAAGTGCATGTGGTGTCAATTCATTGAGTAGCGACATGAGGCCTGATGAAAGTGTCGGGAAATATCCGATACATGATGTGAATGCTCGTGCGTACCGAATCCCAGCGTAGAGATAGCGAGGCCCACTCCAATGACGAGCTTTTGTCCGCTAGTGTCCGGATGTCTTTTCTGCCAGTACCCAATGAACCATGCGGCTGGGATATTTTATGAATAGAATGCAAATACTTGAGGCATAATTACTCACATGGCATTGACGCTAAGGATGAACCCAGAGAATATGGTAGCATCTTAATCCCAGCTTGCAATGGAGGAAGGCCGTCGACGGCCTAGCAAAGAAAATTTAATGGGAATTTACTGCACGGTCAATTTGACGCTCACTTGGAAGAAAAGCGCTAGATAATATGTGCCCGCGTTGAAGGCGAAGTTGTGGAGAAATATGACCGCTAGAATGATCGCTGTTTGGAGTTTGTAAGTATGAGACGGTACCCATAGCCAGCCTCACGTACCAATCGTTCTGTCCTTGAATATTACCAGCGGGAAAAGAGCATCGCGCTTCGTTCGAACCTCATAGGATCCGGCGCAGATGAGAATTAGAAGTCCTGCGATGATCGTGCACAGGGTTGAAGGTGTAGTCCCTGTAAAGTATCAACATACGCTACATGAAATTCCCGAGATAGAGGACACTCACAACCATCGCAAACTGCAAGGTTGAAGCCAACCACTATACAACTACTGGCGCCCATAAACAAGGCCCTGAGAAGTATTTCATGAATTGGTGTACTTTCATGATGATGTCATAGACAACGTACAAACCAATGAAATCAAATGAGTTCCAGAACGATCGCCACGATATATTATCTGAGCATCCTACACGGATGTTGCGAAGGGACAACCACAGAACAATCGATGCCGCAGTGCACACGGGCAGATTAAGGTAGACTGGAGGAAAGTGAAGGGATGAGCTTGCACCACACGAACACGTTCGCCGTTAACTTACAAGCCCATCTCCAACTGATTATACCAGATTGTCCTGTCACACATGGTCAACTCAGTAAATCGAACCATGTGCAAAAGACTCACCGCTAAATAAACCGCCGAGAATGGGCCCCGAAACGGCAGAACATGCCCAGGTGATGCTGAGAGCTTGTGACCATTTTGCTTGACTTCGAGCTTCGACTATCTCCGAGGTAATTGTCCAAACCAGACTGACGATCCCTCCGCCACCAATTCCGGCAAGGGCTCTGGCCGCTATCAACCATTGAATGCTCTAATGCTCGGATCTCAGTCGGGAAACTCGCGATCACGCCAGATAGAGGGATTACCTGGGCGGCGCCACAAAGTGCGGAGCCAACAGCAAATATGACAATACTGCTGTATAGCACCGTCTACGGTAAGAGTGTTAATATGCGAAATCCTAAGGTAAATAATTAATTGAACTCACCATTCGTCCGAGGAGATCCGATATTTTACCATACAAGGGCTGGAAAGCGGTTTGCGTCAACATATAAGTGACAGAGACCCAGGTATATTGCGTTGAAGTCGCGTGGAATTGGCCATCAATGGTTGGTAGGATAGTAGAGACAATAGTCTTCGAAGTATAAGATGAGATAAGAGGAAAGCTATTGGCGCCAATATACGTACTGCGTCCGTGGTGGCTAAAAAAAGAGTTAATGCAGCACTGAATTGTACGTTCAAATCAGCAAACACTTTGGCAATGTGAAGTGATCGATATCGACGCACCCAACATGGGCCCAGAAGAGTCTGGCGGTCGAGATCTGTGAAGAACTCTCTCGGGGGGTATCTGTAGCCAGATTAGAATCTGAGCCATTGCTCGAGGATATGATGGTAGGAGAATCGCGGGTGCACAAGGATGCACGAGAGTATTTCCCATCCCCGATGGAGGTGGACGGAGTGATTGAACGACATAGTGAGGGCCGGATGTGAGCCGGTACTGTACACGTCTCCGGAGTAGACATAGCTTAGAAAATCTCTGGGTCTGTGCCTTCGGGGAAAATAATCCGCGTAGACAGCAAAGATTTACGAGAGGACATGGCTGAGGATCTTGAGCTTTATACGGACGGTGGAGCGAACCTCAGAATGAACTCGACCTCGTGCTCACCACAAACGTCATGAAGCGAGACATTTGAGAGAACACGGCTTGTTTCCCTAGATGCCTTCTGCCATTCAGTGATAGACGAGTGAAGAACAAATCCCCAATAGCCTTCGTACCCTCTTTGTTAGTGAGAGAGCCTAGGCCGCGAATTCGAAGGATAAGGAAAACAACCTGCCTCCGCTCTTCCAAGAAGAAGCGGACCCTAGCTGCAGCAGCCCTGACTCTAGGTACCGTCATAGGAATTCCCAAGTCAAATTCCTCGAATATTCGGGGGCTTTAGTGCCAATGCATATGGTGGAAAATCCCACCACGACGGTCGGCGAGTTACGTAGTGGGTAGCATCAATTGTCGGTGACATTATCGTGGATAATTCGAACATTCTGAGCTGCCATGATAGTCGTACCTCAGCTAGCCATGATGGGATTCCGATCAGAATAAGTGTGGCGGAATGTCGGGCCCGCGAGGACAGGCGAGGTGCCCGGGACGCGCACGCGGTCAACTCGTTAAAGTTAGGCAAAGGGAGTTTATCGGCTATATTCTCAATCTCCTTATTCAATAATGCAACACACGTAACGGCATCCGAAGTGGCAGATGCGGGGCGCACTGCGAAACAAGGATGGCGATTGATTCTCGGGCCTTGACGGCCCTCCGATACTGAGAGCAATACGTACTCTAGACGCGAGCTGCACCCTAAGCTCGCTAATCCCTCACACATGCTCCCGGCTGTGTGTCAGCCGTCTATCCGTAATCCACAGAAACCTATGCTGCGGCCGCTAGCTTCTTCTGGCGCCGGTCTTCTTCGCCTTCCGGATCCACGAGATCTTTCTCAGTCTCCTGATCTGCAAGAAAATCCACCATGTCCAAGGTCAAACACAGATCGAGCGGGAAGGAATATGGATAAATTAAAATCCAATGAGCTCCTTGATTCGATTCCAAGTACGAGATGCCCAGGTACCTGGAGATGAAGAGGCATAAGTAGAATAAACCGTACCATTTTCTAGTGGAGTAGCTTCTCCCTGATTGGGCGGCGGATTGTTTGATTTTGCAGTTGAGCTGGGAGATTCTTGAGAAAATTGCGGAGCTCGTCCTTCTACATCGTCTGCATATTGTTGCAAAATCTCGCGCTGCCGCTTAGTAAGAGATCTGTGAAAGCGTAATCAGTTTGATTCTGGTGAATATACACAGATCACAAATAAGCGTAAGGCGAACCTGGGAAGTTGTACCATGAATGCGACGAATAGATCTCCTGTAGTAGCACCGTATACTGAAGGCGCCCCACGACCCTTCAGCACCATTTCCTCTCCATGCTGCGTTCCTCCAGGAACACGCACGTCTACATCTCCATCAAGAGTGGGCACGCGGACCCTTCCACCTAGGAGTGCAGTGTGTAGAGGAATCCGAGCCTCATGGTGTAGATTGGCTCCTTGACGACGAAACTGCTTCGATGCAGCTACATTTACTCTGACGAGTAGATCACCTGCACGACCTTTGCCGGATACAGGAGCATCGCCTGCATTGGGTACTCGTATGGTCATGCCGTCCTCGACCCCTGCGAGGCAAGTGTCATGTAAAGCGTGACGTGAAAATTACGTGGCTCTTACCCGCTGGTATATCAACCTTCACTGATTTCCTAATCCTGACTTGGCCCATTCCTTGACATTCGCCGCACTGGCTTCCGCGAGGAACAGTAGTTCCCGCGCCGTGACAAGTCCCACATGTACTCGCCATTTGGAACCCGCTATCAATGACAAATGTCCGTGTGCCCGTCCCGCCACAAGTCGTACACGTCGATCTCTTAGCGCCCGTCTTGAGGCCGGTCCCGGAACAAGTACTGCAATTGACGACAGGGGTAACGTTGACGGTGTGGGTCGTACCTTTACACGCCTCCATGAAAGTCACACCAATAGTTGCTTCAAGGTTACTCCCTCGTATATCCTCCGCACGCGGTCGCCGACCACCAAATGCACCAAAAAGTTCATTGAACAGGTCGGCTTGACCACGAGCCCCTCGAGCCCCGCCAAAAGCATTAGCAAAATCATGGAACCCAGAGAAACCACCGGCACCAAATGGCCCGCTTCCGTTTGCGAAAGCATCAGGGTCGAAGCCGGGTTGTTGAGATGCGGCGCCATATTGATCATAAGCGGCTCGTTTCTTCTGGTCTTTCAGAACCTATCCAAAAGGAGAAACTCAACATGATACACAAACATCAACTAAGGAGACATACATCATATGCTTCCTGAATCTCAACGAATTTGGCTTGAGCATTCTTATCTGGATTGGTGTCAGGATGGTATTTGCGTGCCAGCTACCGAACGTCAAATCCTGCACATACTGAAGTCGATGCTAAATACTTACTGAGAAGTACGTTTTCTTTATATCGGCCGCGCTAGCATCTTTCTTGACACCGAGGACTTCGTAAGGGTCCTTCCCTGCGGATCGAGATGCAGAAGCATGAAAAGCACGCTACATACGTACGGACATGAGTATCTGCAGGAAACACAGGCAAGACATCTAGTTGAACCTGTTTACCAAGATGATTTAAGGAGGGTAAGACAGTAAGCACTCGTCTAGAGCTTGGACGATGCGTGCAGGCATTAATGCAGGAGAAGTTACGAGTACCAGCACCAGCGAGTGTAGATGAGCAGGAGTAAAAGGACGCAAATGAAAGAACCTTCGCAGAGGATGGCCGAGGGGGCATTGACGAAGAACGTATGGACTTAGCAACGTCGCGGAGACCAGGCAACTGCAACGCAGGCTGAACGGCCAAGTCGTCACTGCCAGTGACGGAAATTTATGCAAGTACTCACACGATCATGTGATTGTTTCCAGAGTGTTCCGATCGCGTTAACGTTAAAGTCAATTTAAGCTTGAGTTAAACGTTGAACGTGTCTTTCGAATCCCTCCTGGCAGGACGCATTCAATAGGTACCAGGAAGAAGCTGAGTGCCAGATGCGTCTCAAGAAGAACAAAACCAAACGAGACACAATGGCTGTTGCAGATCTGCATTTGATTGTGGCTGCGAAGGATATGTGTACATCACCCCCCAGCATCAGTCATATCTCATGGATCCACCCTTCAAGCTTCACTACGGACTGATTATTTATAATAATAGCAAAGTCTGCACTGAGACGGGCGGACAAGGAGACAACCTACAATAGATTGCAGTACAACTGGACAAAGGATTAATTGAACCTTGTCGACAAAATCATCCCGCCGCAAGTTCGCAAGTTTGGGGGGAAGTTCGAGCATGCCACCATGCTTTGCCATACGAGACAAGGATCTCCTCGCCTTTCTTGATGCTCTCGCTTCCGCTCCATATACTCATACGAAGCTCCCCAGTTGCCGTCCTTCGATCTTCGAATACGGCGTTAGGTTTAGCATTGATACTTCGATAATCGTTGATAAATCTGGCCTCATTGCCCATCGAATGTGCATCCACTCCAACACTTAATCCATCCTGAGTTCGAAGGAGAGAGAGATCGTAGTCTGATTGGGGTCTATCATCGCAGTGCACTTCCCCGACGTAATCGACTATGTGAACGCGGGGCTGTATCTTTTTCGCAGCAAATAGTCCAAATTGGCCATATGCCGGATGGGAAGGCTCGACTATACGTCGGATGATCGTAAGCGAACGAGAAGGGTGGGTAGCGGACGGGGACTGGGGACATATGTGGGCGCGGACCTGGAGAGGAACAGACGAGTGATAGTGAGGCTCGGAGATGTAACGAACATGTGGAGGCCAATGTGGAGGCGGCGCGCAAGCCGTCGGCGATTTCGATAAAACCCTATGGGCGTTGGAGGACATGAGTTGGCAGAGCTGCAGCCTTGAGTTCCAGGGCGAGGTAACCTCAACGGAGGTCGAACGGAGATGGCCGCATCGTGTGAACTTTGAGTCGCCTCGGGCGCACGCCAGGATCGCGAGGCCAATTCACGCTCACTGCCACTGGCCATATTCGCTGAAGGCTTTCTCTTCCGCGACAAAACGAGGAAACTAGCCTGATCCCGAAAGCTCTGTTATGGGTCGACCCAAATCAGTCGCGCGGGTGTATCCAGACGTCAACGCTAAACTCGGTTCTTCATGGCATGAATATGGTATGGGTCAGCTGGACACTTTGCACAAGATCACATACCAAACCAAACGCCATAGATAATCTGCAGGTTCAGTGGGGTCCACAGGATCATTACGAGATAGTACGCAAGGTGGGACGGGGAAAATACTCAGAGGTGCGCCGCAACAGGCCCGTCTGGCTTGAATCGTACGATGTTCATGAACTACCGAGACAGGTCTTTGAAGGGATCAACATTGTGAATGAAGAGAAATGCATCATCAAAGTGTTGAAACCTGTTAAAAAGAAGAAGATCAAGCGAGAAATTAAAATTCTGCAGAACCTGGCGGGCGGGCCGAACATTGTGGCACTACTCGACGTTGTCCGCGATCCGTCGTCTAAAATTCCCAGTTTGGTCACAGAATATGTTCACAATGTCGATTTCAAGGTCCTTTATCCTCGGTTCGCAGATTATGACGTGCGATACTACATGCTCGAGTTGCTGAAGGTGGGTACATTGTGGTATCTCATCATCAACGCGTCTATATGCATTTGCAGGCGCTCGATTTCTGTCATTCGAAAGGTATTATGCACAGAGACGTGAAGCCACACAATGTCATGATTGATCACGAACGCCGAAAGGTCAGACCATGTCTACGATTATGGCCTGGGTTTCGTTTGGTGCTAATCACTTTTTTTCTTCTTTTCCCCCTCACTTTTCCCCTATAGCTGCGACTTATTGATTGGGGGTTGGCTGAATTTTATCATCCAAAGACCGAGTACAACGTGCGAGTCGCGTCACGATACTTCAAAGGGCCAGAGTTATTGGTAGACTTTCAAGAGTATGACTATAGCTTGGACATGTGGAGTTATGGTTGCATGTTTGCGTCGATGGTGTGTACTGCTTATGGAAATATGGCACAATTCTCATCTGTATCTACCCGCAGATATTCCGTAAGGAACCTTTCTTCCATGGACACGACAATTACGACCAACTTGTCAAGATAACCAAGGTACTCGGGACTCAAGGCCTTTATGATTACGTAGAAAAATACGACATCGCACTTGACCCACAATACGATGAGATTCTTCAAAGGTGAGTCTTCCCACTGCAGTCTGTCGTTTTTCCTGCTATAGCAATTTTCCTGCAGTTACCCAAAGAAGTCATGGTCACGATTCATCACATCGGAGAACCAGCGCTACATCTCCAATGAAGCCATTGACTTTCTGGATAAGCTTTTGCGGTACGATCATCAAGAGCGCCTCACGGCGAGGGAAGCGCAGGCGCACCCCTACTTTGGTATACTCTCCTACTGTGCCATTTGATCTTTTTCTGACTCGTGTTCCCAGATCCTGTGAGAAATGCTAATGTGCATGATGGCGATAGCGAGGGTTCTGCGGCATAGCGATTGGAATCACCTCATGGTCTTCCCCGACACGGCTCCCGCCATTTGTCTTTCACTTAGACCGCTGTATTATTGGATGTGCTGCGGATGTGCTGTTTTTATTGTACGGTTAGTGGTGTTAAGTTCGAAGATAACTGAGGTGAAGCCAAGTTGACGGTTACAGCGGGCTATGATAAGCAGTATGCAGTTGCGGCATGGTCGGTACGACGGTAGCTGTGAACGGCCATGTCGGAAGGTATGGTGGAGATAATCAGCGGGTGTGACTTTAGACGTGCCACGTGGTTTTCCATCGACCGTATGCCACCTCCGCCCGATTAAGCCTCGCCACCAGCACAAGTAACGGCGCATTTGAGTATCTCGACACCTGCTCGCTGAGCCACCTGAGTTCTCCCCGACGGGCACTCTTGCAGACAACCCAGCATCCAGCATCCATATGCACACCGCTTAACCTTATTGCCACCGTGCGTCTGTTAATCTACTTGGACGCTGCCCTCGCCCCCAGCGCGCCGAATATACTTCCGAACCGCATGCTGACCTCGTTCTCCCACCGCATGCTCTTCGACCGATATGCCTCGAGATCACTGTGCGTATCAGCGAGTGCATTCTTCGTGGAATAGCTTCTCACCTCTGCATGTGCAGGCACATTAATCGGGGTAGCAGCGGCAGACTACCTCCCGTACGGCACGGCGGGATGCTATAAAGCCCACCCCCGTGCGGGACGAGCAGATAGGCCCGCTCTCTCGCGATAGCTGCATCCTCGGTCTTCACCATGTCTGCGGCGCACACGACCTCCCGCCGTTTTGCGTACGTCTGTATCGCGCTCGTCGCAGCCCTCAACCTGCTCGGGGCTGCCGCCTTCGACGTCAGTCTCTACGACAATGTAGGTGTCGCGTTTGCATATGCTGCCCACGTCCTCCGAGTCGTTGACGAGCTGTCCTTCCCTTCTCGCTGCTCGCGCTCATCGTGAAATCACCGACAGGTTGCCGTGTGTGTACAAATCTTGTTATAAATGCAGCGTGTCTTCTCACAACCTCCTAGATACTGGGGTCAGGACTCATATGGTGCCACTCACTCGGATGTCGCCGACTACCAACAGCCCATCTCGTTCTACTGCCAGGTCAGTTGTCCCGCTCGCGAGGCACTCTTCGGTGCTGATGAAAGCCGCCGCATCAGGACGACGCGATCGATGTTATTCCGATCGCGTTTGTCAATTCCTTCTTTGGGACTGGTGGATACCCCGTGCTGAATCTGGGAAATGTGAGTGTCCAGCGCACGGCGTGCACAGCTCACCTGGCGCCTGCTCACACGCGGCGGCGCAGACGTGCAACAGCACCACGAATGGATACTTCAACGGCACGGAGCTCCTCAACTGCTCCTTCCTGGCGACCGACATTGAGTACTGCCAGAACCAGGGCAAGGCCGTCACGATCAGTCTCGGGGGAGGGGGTGCCAGCGTTGGATTCCAGAGCGACAGCGAGGCGCAAACCTTTGCGGACACCATTTGGAACCTCTTCCTTGGCGGGACGAGCGACATGCGCCCTCTGGGTAGTGTCGTACTCGACGGGTAAGAGCACACCAGGAGGAGGTCCTCCCCCCTTTGATATTGACACGTTGTGTCTTACAGTGTTGATCTCGACATCGAAGGAGGCTCAGAGACCGGCTATGCCGCATTCATCGCGCAACTTCGCACGTACTTCGAGGGTGCGGACAAGTCGTCAGTGCTTGTTGTTCTCACGTCTCCTTGGTAACGCTCACGGTGAGAGGATGGGATTGCAGATACTACATCAGCGGTGCACCACAGTGCGAGTATCCGGACGAGTATCTCGGAGATGCACTGGACTCCGCCTGGTTTGACATGGTCTACGTGCAGTTCTGTGCGTGCGGTATTTACGGCACCCCATATTCCCTCGCTCACTCCTTTCTGCGTTCACAGACAACAACCCGTGTGGGCTGCAAAACTTCGACGATGCCTCGGTGAGAATGATGTCTCACGAACCCTGCTCGAAGTACATACTGACACGGTTCTACTATCCAGGGATACGACTTCGGTATCTGGTGGGAAGATCTTTTGCCTGGGCTTGATCGCCGCTGACCATATGCCATTGTCAGGGACATCTGGGCACGCAACGTTAGCATTAACCCTAACGTGAAGATATTCGTGGGTGCACCTGCATCGACCACTGCGGCCGGCACTGGGTACCAGAACGCCTCGCAGTTGGAGACCATCGCGATCTATTCCAGGAACTCGTATCCATCGTTCGGGGGTGTCATGATGTGGGATGCCTCCCAGGCTTACCGTGCGTCGCTCTGCTCTTCATCCACCGTGGCATCGCGCCAACAATACACTAGAGAACGACCAGTACGATCTTACCATCAAGGATGCCCTCGTTGCGGCTGGCAGTACCGGGTTCACCTACCCGGCCTGCTCTGCTGAGGAATGGACGAGCGGCTCGGACTACCCCGGGGGCTCGAAAGTATCTTGGAATGGCTACATCTGGGAGGTAAGCTCGGGAACAACACTCGATGTCATCCCATAGTTCTGATCAACCTTGTGTGTTTAGTCAAAGTACTACGCCTCTGACGAGCCCACGATGAACTACAACGGTGACTGGATGCCGAGTAAGTGTTTTATTGTTTGATTTGTGGACGACGCAGCGGCTGACTTGGCCCTCTGCGACCGATAGTCAGCGCATGCGCGGGCACTGCGCCTACCAGCAGCTCGCCGACGACGTCCACAGCGTCGTCCGGGACGACCTCGACGTCGGCGACGGCAACGACGACGAGCACGGGGACTGGAAACTGCGCGGGCGTGGCCGAGTGGTCCGACAGCACAGCGTACACGGGCGGGTCCGAGGTGCAATACAAGTGCGTCGTCCGTCCTCGCAGCACCGACGTCGTGTGTTGACGCACACCCTCTCCCCCCTCCCCGTACCCGTGCACGACCCAGCGGTGACCTGTGGACCGCACAGTACTGGACCGAGGACGACGTGCCAGGTGGTAAGTCCCCGCTGCCCTTGCGCGCGTCCGCGCCGCCGTGCTGACAACGACGCTGACGATGATGATGATGATCCCCCAGGTTCAGCTGGCGTCTGGACCAACGACGGCGCGTGCAGCTCGAGCGACGTCGCAGCGCGCGCGTTCGCACCGCCGACGCCTGCGCCGGTCGCTCCGCGGAGCAAGTCGCGGTTCTTCCGCCTCTGAGCGTATTTAAGGACCCGCTATTATTGACGACTGGATGCCGCGCGTCCCGGGTCCCGTCGCATAAGTTACAGGATGCCGTGTTCCCCGCCCCTCTCGGCCTGGCTTGGGAGGGGGGGGGAGTCGTCCACCGGGCGCATGCTCACGAGATGTTTATGATCTTATGCTAACGCGATGTCCTGCTGTTTTTCTGATTTTTCTGATTTCTCTTCGCCTTTTCGACATGGGCATTGCTGGTGTTGTGGGGAGGGGCCAGTTTTGGGGAAGGACTATGAAGGATGAATGTTGTACCAGGTGTATTTTTTGTGTGCCGATCCGAGTACCACTTGTATTTCCCTGCATGCACTGATGGAATAAAGCTGGACGAGCTGACTACTCAGTCCGATGTCTCGCCGAGGCGCAGCCAGCAGAACGGCGTTGGGCGTGGCCTCTGAGGGCTGCGAGTGCCATGCGGGGGGGCGCAGGGGCCGGTGCGGGGGTGCAGGCTGAGGCGAACCCGCGAGGGGTCTGATGGCGGGCGTGGAAAACCAAATTCACGCCCGATCTCCAAAATCGCTCCGCGAGTGTCTCCCTCATTTCGATCATCATCGCGCACGCCGAGCCGAGCCTCTCCCGTCTCGCACGGCTCAGCCCAGCACCGCCCCGGCCGTGTCCCCGCCCGGACCCACCAGCGAACGACGGCTGCGCGGGGCGGACGGCCCTCCCTGCGTTTCGCCGACGGGTTTTGATCCCCCGACATACCCGTTTGTTTATACTCATCGTCCTTACTCAGAGCCCCCCGCTTGCTGCGGTGCCATATGCGCACCGTGCGCTGACACGCGTACGTGTGTGCTTATGCGCACTCCCAGCCGCAACGACACTGAGTAAGACGAAAGTCGGCACTGGCAGCACTGCATGCCGCGGTTGACTTGCGGAGAAACCAAACCAAACCGTCGACAAAGACAAGCCCGAGGCTGATGGCACGGTTCCACAAGAGCGAAGCCGCCATCGGTCCCGGTGCGTGGTGCTTGTACCAGTACGAGCTGCAATCGCCGACGAGACCACCCAGCCGCACGCCGACCGGGCTTATCGGGGCCTTAGACGTCCGGGTGTCTGACTCGACGCGTTCAAAGGGGCCAATGCGCTGCCAAAGACGAGCGAGCAGATTGCTCCAAGAATACCCTCAGACAAGGCTGTACGATCCCGACCGCTCTAGTGACTCAATTTCGAAATTCCACAGTACGTAACTGTGCCCAAGATTAACCTGCTCTCGTAACGCGTCTCGTCGTACATAATTAAACGTGTTTTCGACACCGTAATTTTCATGATCGCTAGCACCGTCGCTTGTGTCAACGACGCCAGATGCAACAACTCCAGTCCGTTCAATTACGTGTCCGACAGCACACCGTGACGGCTTAGATGACGAGTTCCAGACGCGCACCAACGATGACAGCGGAGATAGATGCGATTAACAGAGAGACTATAGAAGACAGTGAGACGCAAGACGGTCACATAAAGATACTGCAAAATGAGACGTAGTAGAATACGACAGCAATCCAAACTGATATACAGCGCAAAAAAAACACGATTCGACAGGAAACATCTGACACTACAACGAGCCAGAGACACAATCTATGCATGCATGACACCCGTGGCGGTGTCTAGGAGCGTGCCTCGCGAGCAGACGTCGATGGATGTCGGTCGGAAGCATTTGACGAGCGTCGACCGCGGGCGTCGTTCCGGCCTTGCTGAGATGTCGAGAGCAGGGCGCCAATGGCCATGCTCTCACGGGAGCGTGGGGAGCCACCGCTGCTGCTGTGCGAGGAGGCAGAGGAATAAGGTGATGGTGGGAGGGGGAGGTCGTGTGTGGTGACGCCAAGCGGAGACCTTCGCACACGGTCCCGAGACGGCCCCGGGGACAAGGACGATCGTCGGCGCTTGCGCGAGGGCGACTCGACAGACACAAGGAGGGTTTCTTTTGAGATGGGGCTCGAGGACGAGACGCCCGAGTCGGTGCGGTGGTGGGATACGTGGAAGCCCAAGGGCTCGTCGTCACCTGACCGCGTCTGGGGATGAGGAGAGTGGTAGTACGAGGTGTGGGGAGGGGATGGCATGTGGGTGACAGACGGATACGCGGGGCCAGCGCTGGAGTGGTGATGATGGTGGTGAGAATAATGGTGGCCTTCGGCAGAGAGATGGAGGGGAGGGATGGGCTGTGCTGGGGGGTGGAGGGAAGGTTGGTACATTTCGAGCATAGTGCGTTGGAGGGACGCAAGGGACGCGATGCGCTGGAGACGAAAGCTCATATCAGTGATGGGGCAAGAGAAAGTAGCGTGAGTGAGAACATACCTGGTCCTCGGCGCTCTTGGCGTTGAGCATAGCGATGAGCATGTCACGATCGCCATCGCCTTTTGTTCTGTAGGCATCGAGGATGTCTCGCAGGCTGGGAGGAGGAGACTGGATGGACTGTGAGTGGGAGAATAAGAAAGGAGGGGGATGGAGAGGGGACAGACCTGTTGGATGGAGTGCCAGACGGAGGCGAGGAGAGAGTCCATGGCAGGGTCGAGTGGGTGGGACTTGTGGTACGGGCGGAGGTCGTGGGCGAGGGGCTGGAGGGGCGGGGAGGGGAGGGAGTTCATGAGGAGGAAGCGGGCGAGGAGGGGCGGGGAGAGAGGAGAGCAGACTTTTAAGAGGCAGCCAAGGACAAGAATCTATCTTTGACGTTCTGCGGCTGAGCACTCCCAACGGATGCCAGTCTTATATATAGCCTGCCAAGAACATGCCTGCATTTATCCCGCTGCGCTCGTTCTGCTTTCTTCTCCATGCCACCTGCGCACACACTGCGCACGGGCGGAGGAGGAGGGGGTGCGCATGCTGCAGGCGTGCACGCAGGAGGCGGGGGGGGGCGGAGGGAGCGGGGACGAGGGCGGAGATGGGACGGAGGACGAGGGGAGGGAGGAGGAGAAGGAGGCGGAGGCGCGCGAGGACGACAAGCCCAAGAATAGTCGCTCTAATAATTACAGCTTGGCTTGGCAGCCATATCCGGATGCCTGTGGGCGCCAAGTCGAGCGGAGCCGCAGAGCTCCAGCCTTGGCCGTCCGACCCCCTCGGCCGGCCCGTGCCAATCCGCCGTCGCCGTCGCCGGTGTTGCAGTGCGGCGGGGGGCTGTCTTGTCCCTGGGTCACCGTAGCCATGCGCAAGCTGGTGATGTACAGTGGCAGAGGGGGGGACGAGGAGGAGGAGGAGGAGAATGGCTGCATGGACTTATCGACCTATATCGAGCTGCCAAGGCGACGCGGCCAGTCAGCGTCGCCCCCGGCCTCTCACATGTGATGTGCTAATCTCGTCATTTCCCTCGCCTCTTCCGCCTTTCCTTTCGGTTCCGGCGTCCTTGGCCTCGCTTATCAGCCTTGTATATTTACCTCCCGCCCATCCCTATAAAGCAGCCTCCCGCCCTCCCCGCCCCTCCCCGTTCTAGCAACATGCCGTCGTTCGCACTCCTGAGCTCAGACGTCGTGGACCGCATCTTCGTCCACTTGCCCGACTTCAACACCCTCGCCGCCTTTCTTCGCTCCTCAAAGTGCACATACGCCGTCTTCCAAGACCGCCCAAAGTCCATCGTCCGCGCCGTGTCTTACAACGTCCTCGCCATCCCTGAACTCTACCCCGCTGCACTGAGACTTGCGCGCAGAGCCGTCGCCGACTACGACCGCGACGACGAATGTAGATACGATCCTGAACCAGGTCCTGACGAGGCACAGACCGTTCACCAGCCTCTCTCCCGCTCTGATGCACATGAGTTACAGCTCCGCGCTCGCATCGTAGCAGACCTTGAAGATCTCTTCAGCTGGAGGTATATACACTCCCGCCCCGTGCCCCCCCATCCGTGAGTCTCATCCATGACAGACACAAAGATCGCACTGCGTCCACCAGCCGTCTCACCTACGCCGAGTCGCTCGCCTTTCGCCGTGCCATGTATCGCTTCTGGCTCCTCTGCGACTGCAGAGACCCGCCCGAGGACATAGACTTTGACGAGATCGACGACGCGCAAGCGACTCGCGCAGATTTCATCGGCTCCTTTCCCTTCTCTCAAATGCTCGAGCTCGCCCGTGTCGCCGACTTTGTCGCGGACACTCTCGATTGGGCTCGCGGTGCAGAGGCAGTGGTATACGGCAAGATGCCCATGGAGAACGGTGCGCTCGGCCCCGTGCATTCTCTCCGCCCCCCCCACCGTCTGATGTCTGACCGCGCGGCGTGTATCCTGTGTGGTCGTGTGCTCTGCAGTCAACTTCTTTAGAGATATATCCTCCGTGGGCCCGCAACAGGCTTGGGAGGCGTACAGGACCATGTCCTTGTACCAGCCAGACGCCGTCGAGATCGGCTTCTTCTGGTCTGCGTATGCGCTCGCCCTCGAACGTAGAGGGGTGTCCGAAGACGAACGCCCTGAGAAGCACTTGAAGGCGATTGTGACTAGTATCACCGGCGAGCAGGATACCTGTGCGTGTTGATCTATCCCGCCGTGCGTTGAGTGAGGCCAAAGTGTAACCCGTCCAGGCCACCGTTGCAACCAAGTCCATGGTCTCGCACTCTGGGGACCAGACAGTGAGTTTTCACCACACTCTTGCACTCACCAACGATAGCCGTATATCCCTGTGCTCATCTGATCCGATACAACAGACTGGCCCCTCCTCCGACCGTATATCAATGCAACCACGTTGTACTTCCTCCTTCCCGGCAGCCTGACTAGAAACTCCAACGAGAAGTCGCTGCTCTACACGTACATGTCCGAAAGGTCACAGGGCGCGTTTGATCATGGCGCACTGGTGCGGGAGATATTGCGCGTCGCGGATCCAGACGCACAGGGCGCGGACGTGTGGGCGGAGGACGAGTGGTACTGCATGAGCTGTCTTCGTGCACTGCTCGCGCGTCGCGTCATGCTCTGGTGGCATTCTAAGAAACAAGAGAGTAAGTGCCCCCTGTAAGAGCTGTTATTCACGATACTGACGTGCATTCACTTCTCAGGGGGCCTAGCTAATGCGGAGAATTGCTGGCAAGTCCCGCTGCACCGATGGCGTCTTTGTGTGCTCACTGGCTTTGCGATGGATAGGTATGGATATACGTGTCGGACGCAGGTGCACAGGCTTGAACACGCCAGGAAGCTGAATGTGAGGCGTTTCTTGCGAGGGTTAGACTGTATGGGGCTGATGTACTTCTTCTGCAGCATCTCTGCGCTCCGACCCCTGGTCGCGACGATGGCAAAAGGTTCTGACCCGACGTGTCGACGCGTAGGTTGATGATCTCGACAAGTCCCTTTTGGGTTATTATTTATCTGACATTACTATTCTCTGGTATTGTACGAACACTACGTAGATTGCTCCATAACTTGTAATCTGTCTCGGATAGGAGGAGATCGGACTTTTGCAGTATTGTAGTCTTTTGCCAATAGTGAGTTTGGTTTACATGAATGCTTCCCTGGGACTTTGGCCTCAATTTCAGTCGCTGCAAAGTCGACCAAAAAAGACGCCCACGGCTTTCTTCCCGACCGCCACCGCCCCCATCGACCTCGTCGGGGCGAATGCTGCCCTCGACACCGCTCGCCCCCAGCCTCCTACCTCTCGTGTGGCCAAACGCAACCAGCCCTCTCCCATCGACATGATCCACGCAGTGCTCATCTGTCTGTCCCTCTCTTCCTCCCCGCGCTCCCGCCCCCGCTCACCCCGCACCGCACAGTCAACACCTCCGGCGTGGCCCGCCTGACCAAGTTCTACTCGCCGCTGCACCGCTCCGCGCAGGCCCTCGTCCAGCGGATCTTCGCGCTCATCGCGACGCGCCCCAGCGGGCTCTGCAACTTCCTCGACGCGCCCGAGCTCGAGGGCTTCCTCACCCCGCCCGCGGGCTCCGCCGAGCGCCCGCGCGTCGTGTACCGCTCCTACGCGACGCTCTTCTTCGTCTTCGTCGTCGACAGCGCCGAGAGCGAGCTCGGCATCCTCGACCTCATCCAGGTCTTCGTCGAGTCCCTCGACCGCACGTTCGAGAATGTCTGCGAGCTCGACCTGGTCTTCCACTTTGACGAGGTGCGTTCGTAGCGTGGCGCCGCGCGGCCGCCTCGCCCCGCAGCGCGAGCGCCAATGGTAACCTTGCCCGCAGGTGCACCACATCTTGTCCGAGGTCATCCAGGGCGGACTCGTGCTGGAGACCAACGTGGAAGAGATCGACCGCCGAGGTCAGTGCTGGACCTTGTCCTCCTTGCACCACCCTGATCACCAGTCATTCACTGATGCGCTCTCATTGTTGGTTCTAGTCCAAGAGTCCGCGAAAGCACGCAAAGAGTCGTTCGCTTCCGCGAATCCCCTCTCGCTCGGCGGCGGGGTGGTTGGCTCAAGAGGAACGGGGCTGCACACCCTGGGATGGCTAACGGAAAGGCTGACCGGCGGAACGAGGGGATGATAAGCTACAATCTCGGCTACTGTATTTCACATGCAACGTGTTCGTCTGTCATACGCTTGATCGTCTGCAGGAGGAAAGACAAACTTGAAGCCAAGTACGCGTCCAGATAACCTCCATCATTTCCCTCCGGCATTACGAGGGCCAGTTCCACGGGGAGCTTCTTGAGCAGCGTACCGAACTGAGTGCACAAAGATCCGTCCGACTCTTACCTCCGATGACGAGAGGTTCTGAGCGGACTATCATTGAGTTTATCTTGCTCCGTCTGCGCGATGATCTTCAACGGCTAATAATTCGCCACATTGGCCACACGTACCACGCCCTCCACTCACGGTCGGTCACCGCATCGCAATTGCATGTCCGCTTCGTCATCATCTCTCCCATTCTATTACATACTGCAGCCAGAAGCTCATCCCGCGGAAGACATAGTGGCAGTTCCTATCACAACGTTTAGAATCTCAGAATACAAACCGGGACCTCAATGTCCCAGTCTACTCACTTTTCTTCTTCTTCTTCCCACCGCCCGGGGGACCTTTCGCAGGGATCGGCTCCTGGGGCGCTGCGGCCACTTTAGGCGTGGCTCCTCGCGTCGGCGCAGGTGCAGGCGTGGCAGAGAAGCGGGGACCGGGTCCCGACACGGGCGTGTCTGGCGCGGTGCTCTCAGCCGCGGCGACCGGGAGGGTGAACGACGCGCTCGCATGCACGGCGGTCGTGTGCATGGCGTTGTACAGAAGCATGTTGTTCTGCTGCCGCTCGTGCACCGCAGGCGGCTTGCGCTTCGCAGGCGGGCCGGAGAGGTCCTGATCGTCTGTGCTGCTTGCGGGCCCCTCGCTGGTCCCGCGCTGCTTCGAGGCGTCGTCTGGGGCGGGCGGTTCTATGATCGGCCAGACAAATCCCGTTCGGGGCGTATAGCTCGGCCTGTGTGTCCGGAGGCTCTGGAGCGAGGTTTGCAGTGCGTTTAGCGAAGTGAGCTGTGGACCCATTAGCACGATCCGCGATGCAGAGAGGCGAGACTCACCAGCCGGTTGGACACGAGTGTGTATACATCTGGCGATTGGTATATGCGATTGTTCATGATAAAGTACGCGGCGAGCGGTCGAACTGGGGCAACACGATGAGTTCGACATTTTCGGATTGCGGGCCGCGGACGACGTGCCTTCGTCTGGCGACAGTCGCTCTCGTTTGTGGATGATGAACATGGAAGGAGGCTCTGCATGCACCACGGCAAACTCGACTCCGGTAAACCGTCTGCGAAGAGCATCTCAACAGTTCACGCCAACATCACGACCGGGACGGAACTGACCTTAATTCCTCCGCTTCGTTCTCCAGCGGCATGCCGGTATGCATAGTTTGCATGCGCAACACCTGGTTGTTACTTTGCTTATCGTAGAACATGGATGTGGCAAAGTAGTCGAATACGTTCTCGTTGGTGAGTGGGCCATGAGCCTATATTGGCTGCTTTAAATCAAGATGTAGGGGAAAGCTGGGCACGACTGGCTCACTTGTATCCATTCATGCCAGATGAAGAACCTATGACTGTAGTCATCTGGAGGGTGCAAGTCGTTGAGATCCATAATCACCAGATGCGACAGTCTGTGCTCTTTAGCGCGAAATGGTAGTTCCTTGAATGGGAAGACCTGTGTGATAGGCCAGAGCCAGAAAGCAATGATCCAATACTGTGGGCGTTGAGCACAACCGCACGCCGCGCGTGGGCTCGGGCGACGCGTCTTGTCTCTGTTCAGTCACCGCGTCATATCACGTGTGGCCAGGACAGACCAGGAGATGGAACACTGGGAATAGAATTTTCCAAAGCACCCATTGCACGACGTGAAAGCTGGCATAATCGCTGAGAGATTGAGTCTTAGTTAATCGTGGTTACTGGAAAATACGGACATTGGCAATACAGATACGTGCTAGTGATACAGTCCCGAGGTCGTACACATTACTCCTAATTTAATAGTGTTATTACTCGCCACTCAGAACGCGACTCTTGTAGTCAAGCCATCCAGCTCGCGCTCGTAGCACCTGTGTTTGCTGACCTCGTATGCAAAGTTCGACACAAAACCCTTCTCGTCTTGCCCGATCTTGAGCGCATCAGCGGCGAAGGACGCGCTGTCGTACTTGCCCGCGGTAACAACACCATACGAGGTGGTCACGGTGTCACTCTTCAAGTTCTGTGCAAACTGAACGCCTGGGAGTTGTACGGCCTCACGAAGGAACACAATGCCTGTCAACCACGATCAAAATCTGTCAGTAATATCGCCGACCAAGTCTTACAAGAACCCGACCTTCGCCAAGAGCACCTATAGCCTTGCAGTGTCCAAATGCCTCGCGTACCCAGTGGATCGTACGTCCATTTTGCGCTAATTTCTGCGCATGCTCCGCACCACTCGGGATGATGAATGCATCGAACAATGTGCTGCGCTGGCCTTCGTAGTGATGATCCGCCCAAACGCCTGATCCCTCTCCGACCACTTCCCCAGCGGGATATACGTAGCCACGGCGCGGCCCAATGATCCATGTCGTCGCCTGCCCAGCCTTGAACGCTGCACGGAGTCCCTCAACCTCGGCAAGGTTGAACCCATCTGCAACCAGAATCGCGATGCGACGAGACACAATCGTCGGCTCCTTCGGGGCGTAGTACAGCTGCGAGAGAGTTGGTGTAACCTGGCCATGATTGTGGCGCGCGGGCTTGTCCGGTACAATCCCACCAACGTTAATGGCGACCTGTTTGGCGAGATTGAAGTCGATGTTGTTCAACAACTTCGTGTACGTCTCAAATACGACAGGGTCATCACAGTGGCTGAGCTCGAATGAGGCGGCGTTGATCAGATGTGCCTTTTCGTATGGGGTAAGTGAATTATAGAACAGCTGCGCCTGGTTAAAATGCTCTTGGAATTTGGGCGTCCGAACGCGCTGTTTGATGCCAGCAACTTTCTGTGCGAAACTGATGTTTGCTGTCAATCGTCGCAACTGTATCGGCAGCGCGAGAACACTCACTCGGCATAGCCACCCTGGCTGACTGGCACCGGACCAGCAACTTCTTTGCGATTAGGCCAGTAATTGATCTGGCCCTTGGTGATTCTATGTCGCATCTGTCCATCACGGTTGTGATTCATGACCGGACAGACCGGGCGATTGATGGGCAGCTCCTGCCAATTAACGCCCAGCCGAGTGATCTGGGTATCGAAGTAGGAGAAGTTCCGACCTTGAAGGAGCGGGTCGTCACTGAAGCCAATGCCAGGCACGACGTGAGACGTGCAGAACGCTGCCTGCTCCGTTTCAGGGAAAAACTCGTCTACGGTCTTGTCGAGAGTCATCTCGCCAATGACCTCGAGCGGAACGAGTTCCTCGGGCCATACTTTCGTAGAATCAAGGATGTCGAAATCGAAATCGTGTTCGTTAGCCTCAGGGATGCATTGGATGGCGAACTTCCACTTGGGGTAAGCACCAGCCTCAATGGCTTCCTCAAGATCCTTCCGATGGAAATCTAGCGCGAAGTGTGAATATGCGACCTCAGCACGGTGCCCATGTAAGGCATACCAGGGTCTTGTCCGCAAACTTTCAAAGCTTCGTCCCACACAAAGCTGTGAACGCCGAGCTCAGGGAGCCAGTGGAACTTCACGAAAAACCTCTCATTCTTGGCGTTCATCAGAGTGAATGTATTCACACCGAACCCTTGCATCATACGGAAGGAGCGCGGGATCCCGCGGTCGGACATTGCCCACATCACCATGTGTGCAGCTATAGACGCGAGGAGTCAGCACTCAACGATGCAAGGCAATGAGGGCACTTACACTCGGGTTGGAGACCAACAAAGTCCCAGAAATTGTTGTGAGCAGTCTGACCCTGAGGCACCTCGTTATGTGGCTCAGGCTTGACAGCATGTACAAAATCTGGAAACTTGATGGCATCCTGTATGAAGAACACAGGGATGTTGTTTCCGACTATGTCCCAGTTCCCTTCCTGGGTATAGAATTTGGTGGCGAAACCACGAACGTCGCGCACGGTGTCCTACACTGCAAATCAGGATCGACGTCGGGTTGATTCTCCTGATAGAGACTCACCGCGCTGCCCCGAGAGCCCTGCACTGTACTAAAGCGTACGAACATGGGTGTTGTGCGGGAGGGGTCGGTCAACACCGGGGCATAAGTATACTTGGAGGCGCGATTGTCAAATACTTTGAAGTACCCATGGGCACCCGTGCCACGAGCGTGGACTACTCGCTGTGCATAAGGAGCAACATACGTGAACGATTTGTTGTTTGTACTACGCATCTGACGAACTGACCTCAGGGATACGCTCATGGTCAAATCTCTGAATTTTCTCGCGTGCAATCTGGCAGGACCATATGTCAGCACACACACCATGCTCTAGAGGAGCACCGTATGCTTACCTGGTCTTCCAGGAGAGAAGGTCCGGTGTGGGTACCATCCTGAGCTTTCAGCCTGATACTTGTTGTTAGTTTAGTCTCATTGCGATGACACAAGTTTTGTTTACCAATTGTCGGTATCAGAGACATAGAGCCCAAAGTCAGTCGTCAAGCCCTTGTTTGTTTGGGACGCAGGGTCGACCGTGTCATTTTGGAGATCAGCTACTTTCGCGGTTGAAGTCATGGAAGTGTACGCTTGTCTGGCGGCGCCGGCAATCGTGCTGGCCATTGCAAGGATGGGAGCAGAAGACACTGGGAGGGCGGCATTATATGGGAGAGGAGGGAGCTATGCAAGACGTGAATAGGGTCGCGCTGGCCGCCTCACCCGGCGCAGACGTCACACTGACGCAGCCCACCCAACTTGGATGCGCCGGATGACTGCCGCGCCTCAACCCCTCTTGCCAATACTCCAACTTGCTCGGGGCCCGTGGCGTACGATGACGAGTATTTCGACGAACACATTCAACGGGGACAATAGTTGAGAGAATACTCATGTATGATGTTATATATGACACCTCTACAATACACACAAATGGTACTAGATCAGGTTCAGGATATATCAGTCAACAGACACGCAAGGGAATGATGGCTACTCGGTAAAAGGATTTGAGACGAAACATAAATAAGAGAGGAGAAATCGAGGAGAAACGGAACGCGACCGGCTGGGGGGCAATAGCAGTCTACGTAGCACGACATACGAGAATTCATCTTCAGAGGACAGCATAGAGGAACATTCATCAAATGAGAGCTCATCGTGAAGGAACGGTAGATGGGGGCCGTGAATATCAACACGTCCGTCAGGGCACACGAAATAAAATCCCCGTCAGAACATGTATGAAACGTCGTCGCAGCAAAGCCCGTCAGTGAGACACGAACAACAAGTCAAACCAACAGGAGCTACACCACTCGGACGGACGTGAGTGTTGCGCAGAGCTGAGAAAATTATAAGCGAACGAAGTGACGGGAAAAAGACGCCAACGTACGCAAACCATAAGAGTTGAGAGGCATAATCGATTACCAAACATCTACTTCACGTCGTCGCAGTCGCACCCCTCCTCCTTACCAACCCAACCCTTGCCGCAGGAGTCACACCAGCCCCTGGGGCCCTTGTCAACGCCAATGGACCTGGCGGAGCCCGACGAGGTCGCTGACACCGAGTCCGTACGGTGAATAGACACAAGATGACGAGTCAGATCATGCTTGCGACTGAACGACCGACCACAGTTCTTGTGGTGGCACGCATACGGTTTGGAGCGATTCGGGTCGTGGGTCTGAATGTGCGTCTTGAGGTTGTAGGCACGAGCAAAGGCTACAGCAGTAAGCAGTGCATCAGTGATCAGGGAAACGTAACGCAACAGCAGACGGGTTTACCTCGGGGGCACGACGGGCATTGGTACTTCTTCTTAGGATCAAGCTGCATCTCCTCAGGAATCCTTCTCGCAACAGCGGCCTGAGGGTGGTTACTGGTGATGCCGGGAACCGAGGGGACCGCCGGAACCTGCGACGAAACGTTGGCCGGGGCGACAGTAGATTGGCCCATGGTGCCGACGGAGTAGTTAAAGGCCTTGGAGACCTGGGCGACCTGAGCTTGTGGATAGTAGTCCGACGCTGCGGAACTGCTGAGGCGGACCTGCTGCGGCTGCGCAGGTTCATAGTCGGAAAAGCTACCGCGGGGCGACGAGAAAGAGGTCTGCGGAGAGTAATGCGCGATGTTGGGGATGTTCCCGGGGGAGCTGCGTATCGATGGAGAGGAGGGCATGGTCGGGTATGCTTTGTGATCCTCCGCAGCGGTGGGAAGGCCCAAGCGCTTGAAGTCCATATCGAGTTCCTGGGTGTAGGAGTAGTTGCTTGCGGGGTAGTTTGGAGTGGGGGACTGCGCCTGGAGATTGTAGAAACTCTCGGAATAGGCAGAAAGAGAGTCGGCGTAACCAGAGTCATAACCTGACACCGACTCTGAAGAGACGGTGAAGGAAGAGGGGGGGCCGCAAGTAGGGGTATCAGACCTCAGGAAATTGAAGATGTCGCTGGTGCCAGTCTCGATAGGGAGGAGACTGAGCTCGGCGTCGAATGCAGCGAGGGACGAGTCGAGTTCAGATTCGAACTGGTCCGGGTGGGGGGCAAGGATACCGTTGGTGCCGGTTCCGAAGTGGAGAAAGTCGAGGGACTGTTTGGAGTAGTCGATGTCGTCGAGGCTAAAGGCGGCTAGGCCGTCGTCCTTCTGAGACGGGAAGGAGAGAGGCGCAGCAAAGTAGGAAGCGAAGGGCTGTTCAGACATTGCGGAGACTGCGGAGGTGGGTTATGTAGTGTCTGGAGTGCGGATATGGGCAGGGATGAGCAGGAGAGGGGGAGGATAAGTGCGTGGAAGGAGAGAGTGAAAAGGTGCTGCGGAGACGGCAGGACACGTACGCGGGCAACCCAGGCTGTGCTCCGCGAGGCGCCCAGTTCCAACTCACCTGCCTTATCGGGCATGGCACCACCCAATCAGGAAGGACGATGGCGGCGCGCTCCCACGGGGCTCCCATAGCCGGTCGCCATCAGCCCGCCCACGGCGCAAGCCAGCCGGACTCTCTCCGCGATCTTTCTGCCACTAGGCTACAGCCAGTCTACAGTCAGCCCTCGATGACAGTTTCCCTCCCACTCTGCGGTCCCGGACGACCCCCTCTGACTCAACCCCCCCCTCCCCGGCTCCCGGCCTCGTCGTACGGACATCACGCCCAGAGTAAGCACATCGAGTCACATCACACACACGCCTGCCACAGAATCAGGGTCTAGCAGCTGACCAACAATGACACCCTATTCAGCGCGTCCTGTGCACCCCCGCCATGCCTCCGCGAACAGTATCCAAATCTGTCCTTGTCAAGCAGCGGGCGCGAGGACCGTGGTCTAACTACTGCTGTCCATTTCACCGCGGATATCCGCCACAGTTTCCGCCCGGCCTTGTCCTGCAATTTCTCCTCGGCCTCCACTCGGCCAAGCCCATGACACCGCGAGCGGTGAGCCAACTATCTCTTCTAGGGTTTTTCTCCATTTTCTGCCCGATGTAGCCGTAAATGGCCCGTTCGTCCCATCGTTACGCGCGTTTATCCACGGCGAGAAGCAGCCCACACCGCCCAAGAAGCTCGGCCCCTGAACATCCACTTTCCAGGCCCTGTGGTATCACAGAAATGTCCCCTTTCACGCTTTAGAGTTTCCGTGAGGCTCGCCGCATTCCGGGTCTATCACACTCTGTGGCATCCTGCATGCAGCCATGCTTCCATCGCAGATTCCTCCACTCCCGCGGATCTTTGAATCTATAATAGTGTGCGCTCACCGGGCATGCTTTCATTGTCTCCTCCGATTCACCCAAACGGACCGGCATAACCCAAGCAACGGTATATTGTTCTTCACAGCCCATTAGGTGGCGTATCCCGGTTGCTCTTGTCTATTGTATTTTACAATCCTACCCATTACAGTTACTGCCAGCATACAGCGCCAGTTCAGTGACATCAATCATCTATCCCAGCTCTGCATTCCGGCCGCATCACAATCTGCATTGCTGAGATTTACCACAATCTGCTCGTCTCCACCGCATCTATATAGCGCATTGTGCATTGGTCGCAGCAGCTCGGCCAGCGCAGTGCGCAGTGTTCTTAGGTCGATATAAGGTCGCGGGCAGACAAAGAGAAAGGTTGGCATTCTCATCCCGCTACTTTCATCTACGACACCCAGCTTGTTCTAGCGACGCCTCGTCATTCCAACACCATCTAGGCCGCGCAATCACATGCTTGCACCCCTTTTTGCAGTAACCAATGTATAGATTCTACCTACAGCTCAATCGTCTTCGTTTGATAGCAATGATTTTACGGTCCGTCATTGTTGTAAATTGACAGATGTGTTGGGATGGCTCTACAGCCCCCTTTTCCCAGCTGATACATATGGTTTGCACTGGGTTCGACAACCGTTTATCGGTCTACCTGCACAGCCTCTGGTTTCACGACTACCTACCATCACCCTCGAAGCGCCTATTGACATCTCCCATCAAGCGAAATCGAAGTGCTATTGTCGCGTCACCGCTGGCTGCCGTGAATCTCTGGCATCGCAATGTACATCGCTTCGTTTTCGACTTATTCGAGGCTGCCAGACTGTTCTTTCCAGTCGATATATGTGTATTGCTCCTGAGTCTCCTCATCGGTGCGGATCACTTATGGCAATTGGTGAGTCAGTGGTATATGATCCACACCTGAATGATCTTCTGAGCATACACAGCTCATGGTACCGGGTGCCGTCACGTAAACCGTGATGCTCCTTCCATTCACTGTGCTTAAATCCCCCTTTATACAGGCTCCGATCTTCGCATTGTTCACCCAGTTCAAGCATCGGGACGTGCGCCGGACACGCTTTGTGCATTTTAAGACCACGTCGAGCCGTAAAATCATCGGTGTGCGCCTGGTCCCGCGGACTATTGCATAACAACCATGCCGTTTTCTCATGGTATAGGGTCCTGCCTTCCGCTGCCCCACTCCCTGCCGTATCATGCGTGGCGCGCCGCACCACGGCTCGGGGCTCGATCACCTGTTTTTCCATGAAGTATACACGCTACGTCGTCCACTCTGACGGCTTCTCCGACCCGGAGAAAAATATTCTGTGCATGATCCGCCGCATCACACAGATTTAAGACCCGGTCGAGTTGTGTCGAGCCGTATCCTAGTGTCATAGGTTTGTGAAATCACGAACAGATGAACTTTCACCGACTGGTTCTCACCAATCGTGTCTATTTGTGAAGGGTCGACTCTGCTTTCCTGGGCCGCTGGGTCTTAGTGACAAGTGGAGTGATGGTGCTTTTGGAGCATTCAACCACTGGCCGAAAAACGCGGCCCCCTCCATTCCTCCGCTGTCAGTCTTGTTAATGCTGATTTGTTATCCGTGACGGTCTTCCGTACCGCAACTTACGGTATGCGAATTCGCTCACAGCGAGCTCGGGGTCTTGAGCTGACCAGGGTGCGCCAAGCCGTCTAACCTTTACTCTGGCATCACCTTGCCAGGTACAGTAATGCCAGTTTCGGTATCAAATGACCTTGTTCTGCAGGACTTGTAAATGTTTGCTCCCATAGAAACTGTCGTTGGTCACCCAGACGACATTTCATATTTTGAATATCAATAAGGTCCACTTGTCGCACTTGTCCTTACGCCGTGATTCAGTACTCCAGTATTTAACCGCTATCCTTGGGGCGAGTGCCTTCCACTGATCGTGTTAAGTATGAGTGGATTGACAAGACATAGCGGAAGACATAGTGCCCTCAACGCCAATTTTTCCACTGCCCGTCTAGCTCAATCGGATAGAGCGTCAGACTCTTAAGGCAGGTTCTTCGGGTGTTCCCGGGTTGTAGACATGGTCGTGTGATCTGAAGGCTGCGGGTTCGACCCCCGCGGTGGGCTAATTGCTTTTGTTTTTGGCTACCCATATCCCCTAGGATACCTGTTCTGCCTACATCCTTTGTTAAAAGCTGTCTTGTATATACATGCCTGGATCAGCCACTGTAAGCCCAACATCATGAGGACCATTCATTATTTTTAGGTTGCAGTACAGTGCGACCGACACATGTACAACTGCAATTGAAATATTCAGGCTGATGCAAATGATCATCACGACGAAGAATGGCTGGTTATTTTACTGGTTCATTATGTATGTGTGATTTGAAATCATGCATTTGGGGAACTCCCTATATCATGTGGGAGCATGTCGTAGTGAGCGTTTCATATCATCAGAATCAATCATGTAGGCAACGATTAAGACATCCCACTTCATGAAAACCTACTGCAACGGTACCAACATTGATCCAGACTTCCGTAGCTCGCTGCCCTTCATAAGTTGTCCACTCACTAGACGATGTCTGCATTCAATTTTGACTTTATTTCCCAAATTGACGTGTCGGTGCCTTTGGGAGAATACGACGGAGCATGGAGGCACTGGCCGATGCCAGCACCACGGCGGCTCTGGTGTCACCTGCGTAAGGCATTCACTTCAACCCGTATATATCCTTCCTCTCAGAGTTGATAATAAGTTTGAAAGAGCGCGAGGGGAGACGATCGCGACGTACCGACAGAATGCGGCGATGCCGAGTCATATTTCGATGCTTACCTGTCCTTCTTTCGTCATTGTTTTTTGTCTTTCGCTCACGTACATCATGACTTCCATAATCCAATAGGCCGCCCACCGGCATGTCCAGCCAGAGCGCGTATTTCTGCCATCAGCCGGGACCACTGTGTGTCAGGAAACCTGCAACTGCATTAGCATGATGGCTAGTTATCCACAAGGCATAGAGTCATGGAAAAGCACTTCAACACAACTCTGATATGTGCTGACATTCCAGCAATCTCAAAATCATTGTACCACCCTTGGGAAAATACAATGGACTTGAATGGAGCATGGTGACCCCTCAGCTGATGGCAACTTGGCGCTCTAGGTGGCGGACCGCTCAGTGTCGGGCTGCACTCATTGAGGATGGCAGTGACAAAAATAATGATGTATTTCTATACAATTTATGTCCACTCATTGATGCCAGTAGCACGGGTGATTTCATTGTTTGGCATTGTCACAATCAGCTCCTTGATCCCCCTCAAAAGGAGCTGATTGTGACAATGCCAAGAGTGCAATCACAGATTCAGAGAGGAAGACAACTCACATAGAACCACCGTGGTGCTGGCACCAGCTGGTGCCACTCATGCTCCATTGCATTTCCCCAAGGGCGGCACATCGATTTTGAGATTGCTGCCAAGACGAATGGATTAAGTACAGGCACAAACCTCATGGACATGTGGGGGATTACTCAACAAGTGAAAAGACTATCGTCAGCGCATGACCAGCGTATGAATCGTACCATCAAGTGAAGGAGCACTTGGTGCTACAAGTAGTGGGGTCCTGGGATTTAGCTCCACTTTTGATATGTGGTCATGTCAAGTAATACAGTCACAAGTGATTGCACGTTCCTTGTCATCACGCAAGGAAACAGCTGAACTCACTTGTTATAATTGTTCATTGGCGCAAGCCAGCGGCACAACTCTACGACGTTCATGACTTGGACTATGTATACATACGACAACGCGATCGCGAGGCTGTTATACAAAAAATAATGCACAAATTGGGGAATCAAACACCGACTCTACATTATTAGGGTCAGCACACGAACATTTCTAGAAGACTGTGGACTGACCTATGCACGATCTTGTTCTGGGAGCAGGAAGTCAAGATCATTAGCGCAGCGGATATGAAGCAATCGGAGACTCTTACCTGTCCCGAGAATCTAATGATCTCCCGCTTCTCTAGCACAAATAATGTCCGCTCCAATGCGTGGCTCGAGTAGCCCTGTTGCGTGACAAATTCGCGCACAAGACTCTGGTAGCTCGTACTCCATCCTATGGGAAGACGGCGGCGGACCTCCTTCTCAATCTTGTTCATCTCGTCGTTCAGCTCCCCACGCGAAAGACCGTCCGCAGAGCCGGCGGAGACGGCATCCATGGTCGAACATTTGAACATTCGGATCGCTTCATCGACGTGGTGATTGTGCACTGTGGGCGATAACGTCAGTTTGGCGAGTGACTCTGAGATCCGTATAATAGCCTCCAGTTGTCTATCTCATTATCAGCTTGGCTATATAAGGACGATTCAACAATCCACTCACCGGATCGTGATTGGAATGGAGCTACGCTCGTCGTTATCTTGCTCTACTTGTTGTACTTGTTTACGCAGGGATACGAAGTGACTGCTCAGCATTTCTTGTGATTCGGCTGATAATCGTGGTGCGCATTTCCTGATAACGGAACAATCAGCACATGCACAGCAACCATCACGAAACTATCGTACGCCTTGCAATACGCGATGTACCGCTTCATTTTGTCGATATCGATCTCGCCTACCGTCTCACCATTCTCGTCTGCATTTTGGTTCGGGCGGTTCATGTGAATATTCATCACATGCTTTGCGATCATCTGCAAATGAAATTAGGCGGCTAGCCAGAGCTCAGACGAAGGACGGTACGCACCCGGTCGCGCTGCTCGTTGTGTTCGTCCTTCACAATAAAGATCATATCAAAACGAGACAAAATGGTCGTTTGGAAGTCGATATTCTAGTAGGCACATTGTTCAGTGCTATCTGTTTGCAAATAACAGAGTGTTCGGTTACCTCCCCGGGGCTTCGGCCTTCGTCATAACGCCCCCATACTGGATTTGCAGCTGCAAGAACGCTAGTTCTCGAATTAAGCACAGTGGTGATGCCGGCCTTGGCGATAGAGATAGTCTGTTGTTCCATGGCTTCGTGTATGGCTACCCTGTCCTCATCACGCATCTTGTCAAATTCGTCTATACAAACGACGCCAGTGTCCGCCAACACCATCGCTCCACCCTCAAGGTAAAATTCACGCTGTGTAGGTGGAAGACCATGCAAATGAGTAAGAAGCCACAGCATAAGTCGTCTCACACACCGATACAGCATCCCGCTGAACAGACGCGGTCAGACCCGCCGCACTAGAGCCCTTACCAGATGTATACACAGCTATAGGCGCAACCTAGATACATATCAGTCCCGCCCCATTATAACATATGCTAGTGTCTCGGCACCTTCTCGACGAATTTAAGCAGCTGACTTTTTGCTGTACCGGGATCACCCAATAGCAATACGTTGATATCTCCACGCAGCCGCATCCCATCTGGCAGCACTTTCTTGGAACCTCCAAAAAGAAGACATGTTATAGCTTTCTTGATATCTATCAATTGTTTAGCTATAAATAAACGTTTTGAATGTCACAATTCACATACCCAGACTACCGAAGATACTGGGAGCTACGCTTTTTGCGAACCGGTCGTAGAAACCTTCGCTCCGCGCCATCTCCCCAAATTCCTCCTCTTCCTCTGGAGAAAACTGCAGCCCGAAAGGATTAGATCCACTTCCTCCCGATGCTGACGGTGAGGAGACTTCTAGATGAACGAGCCGAAGGTACGGATTGCGCAAGGCAGCGGCCCCACCGGATTTCTAGCTAGAAGTGAGAGGTGAACAAATGACAAGGTGTCTGAGAACGTACTGATTTGGCTGACTGGAACGTAGAGTAAATCCCTGTTGCAATAACACGCGAACCAGGAACAACCTGTCCAGTCAAATATCGATCCGCCGACAATAGCATGTGTCGTGGAAGTTCTCCCACTGGTACCATGTCTGGTGCCTCCTGGAGCTTTAGTGTTTGGTGGTCCGAAAATGTCGACTTCGAGTGAATGATCAAGTAAGGGTCTAGCGGACAATCCTTCTTCTGGTTCTCAATCTCAGGTGCGTCGCAAACCCGAGGTAGTCCTCGGTCAGATCCTCCACCCAGGCCACCAAGTCCACTAGGCGGATATACAACCCTGGGAGTACGGCACGCACGACACTGTAGATGGAGTTTTGTGGCTCGGGCAGATAGCACGGAAGTCGAGATAACGATCCCAGGAATTCGAACAAGTTTGTTCATGGTATTAGCAGCAAGGTCGCGAAACTGCTGTAAATTAAGGCCAGATTTGACGAGGACCTGAACATTTGGAATAGACTGGGCGGCTGTGTCAGAGCTGCTGCCCTGCCCATTAGCTAGAGGAAAGAGGATGGTGCGCGCTGCCTTGGTTGCTGCAGTCTCAAACTGGAAAACGTTCAGGGTTGAGATAAACGATAAATGAACGATGTACCAAGGGGAGAACTTCAGCGGGCCTATCTTGGATTGCGTGAGCAATCTCATCATTGTAAAGACCAATGTGGCGGAGATCAACTTCAAGTTGGTACTGTTTGAGGAGTAGGTTTGCGCGTAGTTTGTCTCTGTGTTATGACGCTATTTCAGAAGTCAATCAAACCTGTGGGTGTGCGGATGGATTGACCTGTAGATGAAGTCGCCACCGACTCGATATTGAAGGAGAAAGTCTAGGAGAAGCTTCTCAGTGTGGGAAGGGGTATCAGGAGACGTCGGGTCGGGCACATCGTGCACAGAGACAGTGAAAACACGGTCTGCGTCAAAGCCGGACATGAGGAACCTGTGTGAACCAGATCTAGGCGAGACGCGATCGAAAGGGCATGCCAGTGCGCGCGAACGCGCCCCACGTTAGGGCAGGCTTCGTCGCGTCACGGTATCCCTAGATCGATACGACTCAAAAAATGCCACGGCATACCAATCCCGTTTAGCTCAGTTGGTAGAGCGCGTCACTAGTACTGAGCTGCTATGACGAGGTCAGTCGTTCGAGTCGGCTAATGGGAAGTACAAAGATCGCTGTACTCCTTTGTTTTATTTCTGTGTTCAAGAAATATCGACTTATTCCCGTTGGACTGGTTGTACTGAGCGCCATCGAACAACAAGCTGCCTCGGCCCGCCACTGAGCGTACGGACGTTGTGCTTTGCTTCATTCGCCCACCATGAGTGCTATGGACACCGACGAGCTACCGGTTGTCTTGCCATCAACTACCACATCTGGTCTTTCGATAGCTCTGTATGTTCGAACTGTTAGCAAGTGCGGTCGACGGCTAACACGCGTCCAAGCCATCCTCTCCCTATCCTCAACATCTCCGAGCATCTAACCCGTTTGAAATTACAAACAAAGTCGAATGTCCCCTTTGGTATGTCTTCGATGCCTGCCCTCTTTGAGTTCTCCTCACTGTGCGCACGAAAGTCCTTGGTGCGCTCCTTGGTACGCAGAATGGACGCGAAGTAGAGATTGTGAATACTTTCGAGCTTGCCGTCGGTGAAGACGGCGTCACTGTAGATCAAGCTTTCCTACTCGATCGCAAGGAACAGTGTACGTCGCTATTGCCTGTTGTGTATGCTGAGGACAACTGAAGGTGGCTCTAGATAAGCAGGTCTTTCCTTCTCTCGAATTCATTGGGTGGTATACTGTCGCCACACGGCCGACTGCCGTCCACATCGCGCTTCATGAACAAGTACGCCCTTGCATCTGCGTTGTTGTTGCAGCTGGCTCTTGCTGATACGTATTCTAAATCTTTGTAGTTCACGCCATACAGTTCGACGCCGCTACTTCTAATCCTCCAGCCTTCTACCGTCTTCGCCGCTTCGTCTGATATTACGGCGCAGCCTCTTCCGATCAAGGCATATGAACCAACCATCGAGATCCGTGACCGCAAGTCTCGCTCCGTCTTTGTTGAGGCGCCGTACACCGTCGAAACAGGAGAGGCTGAGCGCATCGCAGTAGATTGGACGGCAAAGGGAGGGGAAGGGGATAACAGTTGTAAGTTCTCGCAACTTGCGCATATATGCTGGCTATGCTGGCAGCACACAGGACTGACGAGATTAACTGGTCAGTGGAATCGCATCTGAATTCACAGCGTGCCGCAGTGAAGATGCTCCATGAGCGAATCCTAGTTTTGGTGAAGTACGTCGGAGACGTGATTGCGGGTGGGACACTCCTTGTGGCGTTCTGAGATCCGCAATTGACGTTTATGCAGGCCAAGCGGAGAAGGACCATGCGACGTTACGCTCTTTGTCCGCTCTAGTTGCTTCGCTACCAGCAAATGAGCACAAAGGCTTCCGGGAAGAATTCGACACCGTGCGTTTAAGCAGCTCTGTGATCCCAACCTCGCCCCTGATCACTTTTGCCTCCGCAGGAGTACGAAGACGTCCAGCTCACTGCCTACTTGGCGGCATTGACCAAATCCGCCAACATCCTCAACGATGTGCGTACCCTGTTTTTATTTATTTATTCTGATTCATCCTGACGGCCTCTTCTATATTAGTTGGTCGACAAACACAATGTGCTTACAGCAATACGGGAAGACCGGGGCCCAGGTGGCTCCCGAAGACGGGGTTTGGGGATGGGGATGATGGGGATGGGCGGTCTTGGAATGGGCCGAGATTGGGACCGTTTTCATTGATAAATTGTATCCATTCGCAATCGTCGGCATTCAGAGAGATCCTGAGCCTTGTATAGCCCACGTTGGCATCTGTGTATCAGTCATCTGAAGTGTATATCGTGTATTTCCATCTTCGAAGTTCCGTCCATCATCAAGCCCCTCAAACTTCAAAGGATTGGATCTATTGGTCCACATTATGATCACATGCACACGCACGTCTCAGCAGTTGGTAGAAGTTGTGAGACCGAAATTATACATTTTCTCTGCGAAAAGGTGTACTCTAAGTATGTAACATGAAAAAGGCTACGATAATCTAGATATAACCGTAACTTGACCACCGACGAACAAACAACCGGAATACCTTGGCTTAACGTTGTACACGAGTGAGCAGATGTTGATGTATGTAACAGCTTATTGAATGGTAAATGATTGGAACAGGCGGACGTGAGCACCCGAGACGAAGTCAGTAAAGAATGATCGATGAGCGCAGCCTGGATGCGGCGGTCACAATAGCTTATCAGTAGGGACCGTGACAGATAGATTGGATCAAGGTATCTTCTGCATTCGCGGTTATCGGTAAGAAAGGTAAAGGATAGATGAAGCGAGTACATGTGGGCTATGTCAGACCGCCTGGTGGCGTTGGCTTGAAGGGCGTCCCTCTGTAGTCCGCAGCTTTGGCCAACATAGTAAGTAGCAGTTTTAGCGGATAAAATGCGTAAACATACTGTTTTGCCATACGTTGTTTCCCCACCAGCTGATGCTGATACCGCCCTTCGGGAACTATGGGAAGATGTTAGGTGGATTAAAAAGTACCGCGCAAAACCACGCACCTCCAGCGTAAAGAATATTACAAGCAAGGAAATAACAGTACCTAAATAGACAGACTTTAGAGAGGCATGAATACCAAAAAAGCGCATGCACTCACCGCTATCCAGCGCAGCACTCGTCACATAGTTGAACTTGCTCCACCAAGCAAAGTGCCGCCGTCGGATCCAATATTGGAAAATAAATCCGACCAGGAACCAAGACGAGTAATTGATACCAGTCTCCGGGGGAATGGATGAAATACTAGTCAAGACGATAGGCATGTTGATATAGCGGACGATCGAGTCGGGGTAATGTCGAATCCATAACCAGAAAGGGATAGGGAGGAAGACACCAACAATTAAAGCATACAACTCTGGGTGATAAATAGAGCCCGAGCCGAATTGACGTGTAGGACCGATGACTCCCCTGATGAATATGAAGTCAGCGGTGTTACGCCGAATCAATACCGGAAAAGCGCACCAGATTACTGAGGCCTCGTAGAAGACTTCGTTGTGTGGACAGGTCAGAGCGTACTTCTGATGAGGAGTGCATATGTCGGGCACACTCTCAAACATCCACTGTTGCATGCCGCATTGAACGAACCCCGCCATCATAGTCGACGTAAGTTGCACTAATGAAGATACACATTATATGATCGTAGATGAAGAATGATTAGCGCATACCTGCGAAAGTCGCCCGTGGCGGTATCTTGATATAGTGGCCAAGTTTCATGTCTTGCATGAATCGAACACCCTCATACAATGTTTGCAAAGCAAACGATTTGAAGATCTAGGAGAAGTATTAGCTTGATTGTAGTTCTTATCTTTAGTTATATGCACCATGTTAGGGATAGGTTTTCCTGGTAAAAGCACCCCAGGGACAACTTGGGCAAGGATATTGATAGCAACCTGGAAACATAAATTTTCGTGAGATGCATCATATATAGTGGTGTTTGGACTCACGTCTTGACCACTAATTGAATAGACATATCCGGAAGGAATGATGTAAACAATAGGAATTGCCAATGCTAGTAAGAGGAACCAGATGGGCGCGCCCGTGTGCCAAACCTGACGATCGATAAATCTCAGTACACGATAGCTGGGATACCGGGCGGCGCGCACGCACCTCCAATGCAATGATACCCAAACAGCCGAGCCCAAGGAACGATATTGCATACCACCATTGCGGCACCTCGGGATACGAACGCATCAGCTTTGCGTGTATGTCGTCCTCTTCACCTTGGAGACGCTTCAACGACCTCCAGATAGTCTGACCGTGGTACAGGACAGTGTGTACAATGACACACGTCGATAACGCGAAGGACATGAGATACGTCATGGCGTACGCAGCAGGAAGATATAATGGTGAGTAGTTATCATACGCAGTTTGATTGAGATTTGCCTGACTGTCGAGGACCAAACTAACGTTGTATGGCTCGCCGAATCTGTCGTATAAGTAGTTAGATAGCATGGGGAAGTACGCGAGGTCCCAAACCTAGGTAATTTAAACGATTTAATCTCGGGGCCCAAGGAGGCAACTATGCACTTACGTTGGTATAGTACAAGGCAGGCGTGGCGATCCAGTAGAATAACACGAAGCCAGTAAAAACCTGAGCCTGTGCCCACCATGGTACCATGAGCGGACTAGAGATCCAGCTGATCTGAGTCCAGTCGAAGGTGAGAATACCCATTCCAAGTCCTGATTCAATCCCGAACATTTGATTGACGGGTACGTTATTGGGAGCGATCCAGCAAACCCACGAAAAGACCGATAAGGCGGTGAATAGATAGCCTTCGAAATGTTAGTGAAAATAATAAGTATCAGTGAACTAGCGGCGCATACCTGGAAGAAAGTAGAAGACAAAAGCTGCAGTGCCGACATATACCAGGTAACGGAACCTTGAGAGACCACCACTAGTATCGTTCTCGGCGTGGAGAGAATTGAGCAAAGTGCAGACAATCAGGTTCTGCGGCCAGACGAGACTTGCTGGCCAGACCAACAATCGCTTGCACATTCCTGCCAGACCGAGGCCCGTAAGTTGTGTTGCAAGGACGAGCAGAACGTTGAACCAATATCCATAGTTGACATTATAATTGATCTGAAAGGAGATAGTAGCCTGAATAGCAAATGGAGGACCGGTTGCAACATTGGCCATCATGTAAACCAATGCATGTTCCTTGATATTCCAAGGTCCTGGATTGAGGGAGACCTCACCACCCCCAAGCCAGCGCGGAAGACGGTAAGTCTGAATGGGAAGCCAGTCCGCAAGAAGCTTGCCCACTGGGTGGCAGATGAGGACGAGAAGAGTCGCTGTGATACTCGGAGCCGGCTGACGAACGTTGAAGAACATATTCGCAGCCCTGTCAGATGAGCGTGAGCGAAGTGGACTTGTAGCTATGGGAGGTGAGATGGGGACGTACGCAGATACGACGGTTAGTAAAATGCCCAAAACCCACATCCTCAAAGTTAATACTGGCATCTCGGGGTCATCGATGTTTGATACCGAGGCTCTTACTTCAGGATATGGGCTATCCTCCTCCTCGATCTCGTTAAAGTCATAGTCCATTCTGTGGATAGGTACGTACATCAGAAGAACCGCGAGAGCACAATTCAGAGAAGACGTACTTGACAGAGCCCTCTTGGCTATCGACATCCAACATGCTGGAGAAGCTGACAGACCCGGGCGTAGGAGAGATGCCTTTGAAGTCTGTATCCTCAGAGGTTTCCCTATACTTCTCCTTCGCGTCAGAAAGGGATATATGGGCACCTCTGGAACCGAGAGCGGAGGTGATTCCAGAGAACCTGCCCGGTTTTACGCCAACCAGGGGGGAGGAAGATGGTCGGCTAAGTCGGCGGAGGCGATATGGGTCGTCATCGTGAGATTGAGAGTCGGTCGACGGGGGTGTTTCGACGGGGCTGAGAGGATAAGGATGACGCGGATGCACGGTCGAAGGGCCAGGGATGGGAACGGGATGATGCTCTCGCGCGTAAAAATCGAAGGTAGGCGGGGGGAAGGTTATTGGAGCAGATGCTATGAGCGAGGTGGGGAAGGCTGGCGAGACGGGGGTGTCAGGGATGGTGTAGAGATGGTCGTCGTGGGGTGATGGTTCGGGTGCGGTGGGGGGAGGGCCAAAGGCAAAGACGTCCTCTGCCTCGGACTCTTCATCTTCGTCCTCGTCGATGGTATAGTGCTGGTCCTGGGAATAAGTAAACTGCGGATCATGGTCGAAATAGGCCCCCGCGGTGGTCGGACGCGCCGAGTATGGTCTGTCGGCGGTGTAGGGTCGTCCTGCAGAGCTGGACGGTGGCCTGGCCATGGGGGGAGGAGGGCGGCGGGGATGTCGCGGCTGGAGGGAAGGAGAGGAAGGGCAGTGGGAGCACACTCAAGTGAGCACGAAGCCGCCGACTCCAGGCACATCACTTTCGGTGTTCCTGACTGTCGCCTCCTCCCTTATCCGGCATCCTCCCTCTCGCCCTCGAGCTCGCTCGCCCTGCGCCACGCCTCACCTCACCGCTCCCGCGTCGCCCCTTCGCGCACAGCCCGACCCGGCTCATCCGCCTTTCGACATACTTATCTCTCGTCTCCCAGGCCCCGGCAGTCGCCACCGTCCCACCGTTCCCGGCCGGCAATGGCAAAACCCCAACAAGCCTGGTCCCTCCCCCCTCCCGCCCCGACACTTTCGATGGCCTCGCACGTTTCTGCCCGCCGCCAAGTGCGCCCAGCCCACCCCGCCCCCGCCGCCAGCAGACGGCGTCAGCATCCACAACGATCGGATAAACCTCGGCTGTCTACGTGCCGCGCGCCAGCCGAGGCGACTGACGGACTTTGATCGGTTTTGATCGCCACGTCCTCCTTGCCCAGGTCCCATCCGACGTCCACCGTATCGTCGACATGTCTCGTGTGCAGACCCTCACTCTCGCCTCATTTCTCTCCCTTTTCAATTTCAAGAGTCTCTACCTCATTGGATATGCCTGGCTCCTTGGAATGTGTGAGTGCTAGCGCCCATATCTGCTGGCACAGCTCTTGCCTAAACCTATCTCCTTATAGCCATATGGGTGTCCTTCTTTGCTGGTCCGTGCTTTCTTTCAATTGGCGCGAATCCCTTCCGCTCATATATGGCCAGGCCCCATCGCCTTCAGAGCGCTGCGTATGTCCCACCTTGCTCCCGTCCGAGTTGATATGATGTTCAGCCCACTCGACCAACAGCTAGGCACCAATTTGGCGCGCTGCAACATCGCATTTTCCCCGTCTATTTCGTCATGAGCATCATCATGTCTTCCGGTCTTCTAGCACTTTGGACTCGCAGCCACCCTGCCGTTCTCGCACACCTCTCGCAACCCTTGGTCGCAGATGTAGCGCAGGCGTACTCTCTGGCCTCGGTACTTCTTTTCCAAGGAGCGAATTACTTTGTTGTTGGGCCGTTGACAAGCAAGTGAGCTCAGCTGCCGAATCTTTTTGAAATAGAGCCCTTACGACGCCCAGAACTATGTTTCAGCGCCAGAAGTTGGAGAAAGAGGAAGGCAAGGCCTACAATGAAGCCGGTGTACGTATCGTGACCCATGGATTTGCCGACGCTGGGTCGCTGCTAAGTTTCCACGCAGGTATCTACTGCTATGAAAGCTCTCAACAGCAGGTTTGGTATGCTCCATGGTGCTAGCTCCCTCGCCAACCTCTTCTCTGTTGTTGTACTTCTATTCCACGGCCTGTGGATCGGAAATTTCGGTACAGGCATCTAATCAGGCGTACGGTGTCACATCCTACTTTTGCTCTGCTTGCACCGTCCTCGTGTGCCTGGTCGTCTCCCCTGTCTTGGCTCGTCTTGCTATCATGCTGTTTTGGATTGTCACGCTTGTACCATAACTAGTCTCAATGCTGTGCTGAAATGCAGAACGTTAGTTGGATTAACTTATTTGGTGCCTGTGAGCACGAGTGAATAAAAGGAGCACATCAACATTACAGGAATTTGTCTAAGTATACAGTGCTCATGCACCAACAGCCTGCATGTCAGGCAAAAATCCTTCTCTCAGACTTCTCTCCAATCTCCTGATCTCCTCCACCGACGTCGCTTTTGCAATGGCCTCCTTCACCTTCTCCGCCTCTTCCTTCGACATGAGCCGACCTGCCTTGCCCGGCGCCATCGCAGGTTTAGGCTCATCGGTCGCCACAGGCGCTTTTGAACTATGGGTCGAGACCGTCGTAGATAGCGTGGTCGCGAGTTGTGTGGGTAGATTATCTGCCGTGAGGAACAGTCCCTTTGCAGCTTGCCGCTCCTAGGCGAACGATCGATGGCGGGTGAGCCGAGCAGCGCAGCGCAGGCGGCGAGAGAGGGCCGGGCGCACCTTGTCACGAATTCTCTGGAAATCCAAAACTCTCAGCCCTGGAATCCGCCAGGCAAGCCACTCGCGATACCATTTCTTTTCCCGCACAGGGTTCCCGAGCAGTGACAAATATTTGAGGTTCTTCAAGTCCTTCAGTGGTTCTAAGTCGCCGAGCTCGGTGATGTTGTTATTCGTGAGTACAAGTGTCGTCAGATTGGGGGAAGAGAGGTGCAGGGAAGACGAAATCGACGCTATTCGATTGTTTGCGAGGAGAAGCGTGCGGAGACGGCGAAGGAGTGGGATATTCCCCAAAATGACGATCGAATTGTCCGTAAAATCTATCGCATCATGCTGGTCCTGAACATAGAATCCTATTGAGCAGTTTTCGACCGGTGTTCAATGCATCACATACCCTGGTAATACCGAGATTTTCGATGGCAGGGATTTTATAGCCTGTGAGCCGTTTTGTAAGCGCCCAGTAGGCGATGTAATACCACTCACCCCGGAGATCGAGCTGCCGTTCTTTGATTGGATTTAATGTGGAAGGAACTGACTGGATGAGTTCCGGCGTGAGCTTCATCGCGGCAGAGGCAGAAGGTGGCCGGACATGGACAGCGCTGAAGCGGCGTGTTCTGCGACTGGACGCGAGACCGTGACGCGCCCGCGGCTGTCCAGTGCAAGACTCTCCTCACGCCCACCATGAAGCCACTACACCAACGTCTTAATCTGTACAGTATGAACGCATTCTCGCTATAACCCTGTCTGACGGCGGTCTAGGTACACGAATGGCAACGAGTCTTATACGTTTGTACCTGCAGAACCAGTCGGCGCAAGGTCGCTGACCATCTATCGTAATTCGGGCGACATTGTCCTTAATGGTGCGTCATGTGTGGACGGAATGTGGGGATTGCGCTGATATATCAAATTTCGATATCCCAGCACCTAATGCGCCACTTCCACATACTGCTGAACGTTCGCCAAAGACGATATATGGGATATTCGGTCTGGTGTCCCTCGCATTGTGTTCGTGACTTGGTTTCTCTTTCCGGCTCTTTTATTGAATCTGAACGTGACATGCAACAGCGGAGTACATTATCGTGGTGACAGGGCGTGAGCTGCGGGGTCGACTCATGAGCCAGAACATCTACCGTGCCACAGATTACGACATACTTCCTCTCAATCCTGACATGTCCGTGCAGAACCCCCCACACCCGGTTGAGGCGCATCTGTTGGCACTTGTTCGGTCACACCTAGCAGGCGGGAGCTTTTTCTTCAGCTACGGCTGGGACTTGACAAGACGATTACAAGCCCAATGGTCGTCCTTGCAAGAGGATGGGGACAAAGCGCTATGGGAGATTGTATGTGCATAATCTTCCTGCGTTTCCTTCCCTAATCTGTTCTGCAAGGCGGACGACAGGTTTTTCTGGAACAAGTGAGTCTTGGTGCCCTCTCGTAGTATGCATCTCATTGTGTGAGTCAGGTTTCTGCACGCAAGGTTCATTGATGCAACTTTGGTTGATCCGGAACAGAACGTGAGACGCACCCTCGCTTGAAAACGAGCCTGAGCTGAACAGTAATCTAGCTGAGCCCATATATCTTGCCCATGGTTTATGGCAGTGAGTATAGGTTTACACAGGCGATTGTATACGTCTGACCATGATTGATGTGTTCTCCAGCGTTCGATATCCGTCCAGAGCGCGTCAATGGTCATCATATGCGGTTATGTCTCATCAGTCGACGCTCACGCTACCGAGCGGGTACGCGGTACTTCCGACGAGGTATAGATCACGACGGCAATGTTGCCAATTTCAATGAGACCGAGCAGGTCCTGCTCGTTGGTCCTGATGACACAAGCGTGCAACTCAGCTTCGTCCAAATTCGAGGCAGCGTCCCTGTCTTCTGGGCAGAAGTGAACACGCTACGTTATAAGCCGGATGTACAGATTATGGATATTCAGGAAACGGTGCGTCCGACGTGTTGCACCTCAGCTTGAATGAGTATTGAGAGGGTAACAGGTGGACGCGACGCGCAAACATTTATTAGACAACGTTTCTATCTACGGCGAACAAAGCTTAGTCAACCTAGTCAACCAAAAAGGTCATGAACAGCCAGTCAAGGAAGCGTACGAGCGCTCCGTCTCGCAGGTTAGTAGTAAATACATGGTCGCTTAATTTTCGCTTATCGAACCGCCGGTATAGTTGAACCTATCGAAAGTCAAATATGAATACTTCGATTTTCATAACGAGTGCAAGAACATGCAATGGGATCGAATTGATGTTTTGTTGTCGCGGCTAGACGAGGATTTGAATAGTTACGGGTGCGCTAGGCTACAATTTGGGGGGATTATATGCTGATCGCTACCTCAGATATTTCCATCTAGACTCCACGCAACCTAGTCCAGTCAAGCTACAGACCGGTACCGTCCGTACCAACTGCATGGATAATCTAGACAGAACGAACGTCGCGCAATCTGCAATCGCGAAGTGGGCATTGAGCTCTCAGCTAAAAGCGCTCAAGATTTTGCACGAGAAGGATTCCATAGATCCCTACGAGGAATTCATGAAAGACTTCCGAGAAAGTACGGAGTTCTCTTTTTGTCGCCCGGCCGGTAATTAATATGGATTCGTCGCCAGTGTGGGCCGATCATGCGAACATGATCTCGATTGCATACAGTGGGACAGGTGCTCTTAAGACTGACTTTACGCGTACAGGCACTCGTACTCGGGCGGGTGCGCTCGAAGATGGCTGGAACTCTGTGTTGCGATATCTCAAAAACAACTTCCTCGACGGTGCTCGCCAGGTCAGTTTGTCTTCTCATAAACTTTTTTTAGTTTTTTAAGTATGTCGAAGGACGCGTTTGATTTGATGACCGGTGTGTTTGTACCCCGGAGAGGATGGGTGCCAGCGGCACTGGTGCGGGACCGCAGACCCCTCATAGTCCGTGCTGTGAGTAGTGTATTCTAAGTATTAGTATCCTTTGCCTAATGTCGACATCTAGGTGCCCTACGGACTAGGGTTTTCGTTGTTCATGGTATTTGCTGGTTTAACTCTGCCACGCACATCTGGTATGCCTATCACGCTGCATACTGTGACTTTTCAGCTAATTGGTACGCTAGATTATTCACTATTCTACTACTTCGTTCTATGGTTCTCACTGGTCGCCCTGTCGCTTGTCTTCGTGTTTGCACATGGCATCGACTACGTGAACTGGCCTCGGCTGGTGCCTCTCACGGAGATAATCTATTACAACGGTCCGGGATACCGGTCGGGAAACAACGGCAAGGGCTTCAGTATACCAGCACTTAACATCGATAAACTAAAGGCCGCATCGGGAAGCCAAGCGAAAGGCCATCGGCGGGCAAAGAGCAAATTGGAGGAGATCGAGATGGGTACGAAGGAGAGGATCGACTAGAGCCAGCCAAGTTGTATGCGTCTCCCTGCCGTAACGGTGTCCATACGATGTGGCCTATTTATACTACGATATGCATGCAATACTCTAGCCAATTGTTCGGAATTGTGGGTTACCACATTTGCAGCTGACCGGTACAAATAAGCCGGTGGGGCTAAAATGCCAAATGGACACTGCGTCTCGCAGTGCTTCCTGTCATATTGACTCAACCTGGGAACGTGCGAGGATAATTACCCACATGGCTTCCTATATGATTTCTGACTTCAACATACTGTGAAGCTTCGTGTAGACTTACTGTGACCTCTTTGCCTGTGCGCCACCGCCTTGAGGAGTGCGGGGAGTTCGGAGATTGGTCGGAGTAGCAATTCCTCGGTGGCTGTGGCTGCAAATTTGTGCGAAAGTTGAAGTCTACCAAGGCCGTGTACGCGCCTCGTTCCTCCTGCTTCCAGTTGCGCGTTGTGTCCTTCAACATGAGCAACAAGGGTGTGAAACGCGCTTCCCCCGGGGCGTCGGGCGAGAAGAACCCGCTCGGCGATGTTGAAATTGGTGATGAGGAGGCCCAGAAGCTGCAGGGGATACAGAAGGAACTTGCGCGCACCGAGCTCGTTTTGGGTGCGTAGTGTATGCCTGTCGATGACTGTATCCTCCCGCGCTGATGCCCTCGCCTGATATGGCCTGCAGAGCGACGTGCGCAGACCCAGCTACTGCCTGTCTATGAAAAACGTCGTCCGATCCTGAAGGGCATTCCCAAGTTCTGGGCGATGGCTCTTATGAACCACGGGATGTTTGCGCTCCATGCGCAGCACAACTCGGACCAAGTTGCGCTCACCTACCTTGAGGAGGTCTGGTTGACGCGGGACCAGAAGGAGTCTAGGTGCTTCACGCTTGAATTCGTGAGTCTCGCTATCTATAATAGTGTTCATAGGGGCGTTCATTAATGATTCGCGCGGTTGCAGCACTTCAAAGAGAACCCGTATTTCTCCAACTCGGTACTCATAAAAGAATACCGTTACATTCCGCCGCCTGCTGCCGATACTCAGACAGCTGACGCAGATGGCGTTGCTCCGTACATGCTGGAGTTTTCGTGGGAACGAGACGTTGTTCCTCAGGTGCGAGACCACATAATGACAGGCACACTCGGGTCGCACTCATGTAGTTGATTGTAGTCTATCAAGATCGACTGGAAAGAGGACTCAAAGAACCTTACCAAGCTGCACCCGCGCGTGATGGATGACGACGGGGACGACATGCCCGCTGAGGGAGGCAGCTTCTTCAACTTCTTCGAGCACGCCGATGACCCGTTCGATGTGCGTACAATCCCTGGCCCGCTTGCTAGCTCCACTAATGTGTCCGCACCGTTATGCAGGTGGGTGTGCTTATCGCGAACGATATTTTCCCAGAGGCCATCGACTACTTCCTGGGCACTGCCGGTGGGGATGATATTGACTCTGATGAGGATGAAGACAGCGAGGACGACGAGAACGAGGAGGAGATTGACCTGGAGAAGCCGCGGCCGAAAAAACAGAAGAAGGCATGAGGAGGGCAGGCTGCTGCTTGGACTCCGATCCGGTGTCGCCTGGACACCATGAGGTCGTGGCTAAAAATACGAGCTGTCTGCTGTACCCATTGGCTGGTTATCGTATTCTGGAGCATTTTGCTAATTTGGGCAGGCGCCACAGCCTCATGTGCGCGCACAGACTAGTAATCAACGCTAAATTTAGGCCTTGGGGAGCCGGTGCCGAATTTGATCGCCTTTCTTGGCCATGGCGGGCGTCGATGTCTGTTCGGCAGGAATTTCGTCCAGCTCTCCACGTTGAATATAAACATGGCATGCCGCCCGTGTCGACTTGGTCCTCTTTCTCCTTCCCCACATACTCCTTGCCCCTTCGGGTGGCAAAAAATCCCTTCCCACTCTTTTTATAGCCGTTCTGTCTCGCGACGTGTTCCTCATCATGAAATTTGTCGTACTTTCAGCCCTGGCGCTCCCCGGGCTTGTCGCTGCGCACGGCTATAGCAGCGCCTACCACCATGTCCGGCAGGCAGCGACGACAACGACAACGACAAGTGCAGCAGACGCCGATAATTCGGCCGCAGACTCTGCCGCGGAGGTCGGAGCTACCGGTAACACAAACACCCTCCCAACAAAGCTTACCTTCTCGCTCGCGTCGTCAAACCCAACAGCGATCCCACTTTCTCTCATCTCCACTGGAACAGCACAGACACAGTCCACGATTCCCCTCTCGACGACGGACGCGCCAGGCTCTGTTCCAACAGATATTCCCAATGCACCTGGCCTCCCAGATGGTGCGTGACTATTTTATGATCTAGTTACCGTGTGTCTATTGATACTCGCGCATATAGCCATCGCTTTGAATCCCGAAAACTATCCACACCTCGATTTGACGCCCCCGACAGATTCCGATTTGGTCCAACAATGGGTCAAAGAGGTTATGGATTCCGGTA